ACCCCACCCCAACCCCAACCCCCCAACCCCAACCCCAACCCCAACCCCAACCCCAACCCCAACCCCAAACCCCAACCCCAATCTCAACCTAAACCTCTTTCTTTATTTACATCTTATCATTTTAGAAAAATATATTTATTACGTACTATTTAAAAAATTTTTTTTTTCATATTTTAATATTTATATGTTTTTTTATTTTTAATATATAATATTTATTAATTTTTATATTTTTATTTATTTTTAATATTATAATTATTTATATTTTTTTTATAATATTTTATCTTTTTTTATAGAAAATAATATATTTTTATATTTATATATATATATTATTTTTTATTTCTTGTGTTAATTTTTTTAAATTTTTTATTTTTATAAGTTAATACTTTTAAATTTAATTGTAAAATTTTTAATAAGTGACAAAAAATTAAAATTTGGTTATATATTAAAAAACCGAAAATTTGTTTTAAAAAGTTAATATTATTATTTAACCTCATTAATATCTATAAATTATAAATTTATATTATTATAATTTAATCTGATATAAATTATAATAAAAAAATACTAAAATAAAAGATTAAAAAAAAAAATATTAAAAAAATTGGATAATAATAAAATATATTTAAATTTCTTTTTTCATTAAATATTTTAAAAAATTTATTTTTTCTTATTTTTTAATATTTTATATTTTAACTATTTATTTAAAATTTAAAACAACTATTAAAATAATTTCATAATTAATTTTTAAAGTAATTGAAAGAGGAAATTAAATAAAAATCAATTAGAATTTGTAAATTTCCTAAATAAATAAAAAAATAAAATATTTATAGTTAAAACAATAATTAACAATTTTCAGTATTTCAATCATATTTCTTAAAAATACTATCTAACTTATTTAATACTACTGGCATAGCAGTCATCAATCCTAAAGAAACAGTTGAAAAAGTTTCCCCAAATGAAAGTGGCAAAATTCCAAATATTTTATGTTAATTAATTTTATCATCCAAAACAATTTATTTCCTAATATTTTCTAAACTCATCCTTAACTAAATAACTAGATTTAATTCAAACTTTTTCTCATCTGTATATATTTTCCCTCTAAGTGGATATTATCTTTAAATATATAGTTTGGCTTTACTCTTAATTTATTTAACAATTTTTTTATATATAGGATTTTTCGCCTACCCAATTATCCCTTCTGTAAAATAACAATCAAACATTTAAATAAGATCATCGTAAATTCCAATAAGTTCATCTAAAAGAATTGTCTATTCTTAAAAAGACGAATTAAATTCTGTTGAGTACCAAATTCTTAAAAAGAAAAAAATAGTAATAAGCAAGAAATCCACAGTAGTATGTATCACTAACAAAGGATGCAAATATATAGAATCTCTTTTTATAATAATATATATATTGCCATAAATAGAACAACAAACCAAAGCTAAAAACATATAATAAATACCTAAAAAAATATAGCTTAATTCAAACTACACTGTATTATGTTTATCAAGTTAAAATCCTATTCTTCTTGAATTATCCCATGTTTCTATACTCACAGGACATGTAATATCTATTCTTCGAACAAAATCTTCATCTTTAGCATCCTTAAAGTCGCAAAGCATACTCACATTTTTAACTATTAATAATCTTCTCCTTAAATCTGCATTATTCATAGTTGGATACAGAATGCTTATCATATATATATAAAAACCACATATTAAAAGAATACTCACAAAATCACTATCAACTTTATCCATTTTTAATATAAACCAAAAGGGTAATATTACTTTTATACATATTATTAAAGCAAAAACAAAAAAAGGAGCTACTTCGGCTTATTATGTATTACATATTTAATCATAAATAGGCCACAATATTTTTTCTTTTGCATTTAATCTAGCTTTATATATATATTTTAATTTTTTATATTAAATAATAAAAAAAAAATACCTCTACAACCAATACTTTCTAATTATTAAATTAATTTTTTTTACTAGTCTTCAAGATTTTAAGTAGTAGAAGATGCCAAAGAGTTATCCAAAAGATCAAAATAAAACAAAGTTAAGTCTATTTATAGTTCTTTTGCGATTTCATCTACACATCTATAAAAATTACTTTGTTCAATATTCTAAAGTTTCCCAACATTACTATTTCGAGCATTTGGGTTTATGTTAGAAACATATTCACCATAACCATTTTGATTCCCAACTTCAATTTTTAGCTATTTCAAAAGATTAGAATGTATTACACCTAATCCAAGTACTTATAAATGCTCTTGTCTTAATAAATATTAAAAAGAACATGAAAAAGGTTGAGATTCTTTTTCATTTTATGCACTTAAATAAGTTAATAGTAAAATAAAAGAAATAAAAAATAAAAAACAGTTTTCACACCAAATTTAATAGACATTATGTGAATAATCAAAAAGCTAACCCTATACTGTTTTAAAACTAATACCTACAATACTTAAAGGTAGGATAATGTCAAGGAAGAAAGCACCTGCTATTTTTAATAATACTATATACGGCCTTCTTTCTTAATGCGCTTATTTTATTGTTATAAAGGCTACCCATATCATTTTTATTAAATATAAAGGAAACACTATAAATAGATCCAAAGTGAATTCCAATAGAAAGCGACCTTGTTTTATAAATAAATTTATAAAATTCCTTTTATTTGCGTCTGACCATATTTTATGGCCGGCTTCCAGAATGTCAAATCCGTTTTAGTTTTTTTAATCATTTAAATTTACTTTGGAACTTATTTCTATGCTGTTATTATTTTTATTTTTTGAAAGATTTATCATTTTTTTATTTTTTAATTTTTTTTTTTATTTTATATTATAAATATGTAAAATTTAAAAAATTATAAATATTTATATTCTGTGTATAAAAAATTAAAATATATCTTTATTTTACTATAAAATCATTTAAATAATTTCTTTATTATAAAATCGACTTTTTATTAATACGCTCTTTCTTAAAAGCTCTAATTATATAAAAGTTAAAAATCTTTATTATACGAATAATTTAAATACAGTAAGGAATCTTATTTTTATTTAGTAATGAGCAATTTTAAATTTTCGAGGAATCGTTCGTTACATATATTTTATTATTTTTTTAATTTTCATCATATATAATAGACAATTGAGTGTCCTATTTTTTCTCAATATAAAAATTATTTAATATTTCTATTATAATAATATCCTTTATATATTTAAAAACATTTTTTTTCGTTAGAAAAAAAGAAAATTATATTTTAAAATATATATTAGTATTGTTTATATTTTTGATTTTTTTGAAAATATCACAAATTTAATTATTTTTATTTTTTTTCAATCTATATAATTCCCTTATTTAAAAGAAATTTTCTAAAAAAGTATTTAAATCATTTTAATTTTATTTTCATGTATATTTTAATTTTTATATTTTTTCTTATTCATTTGGCTCGCTCTAAATATTTCAATTATTTTCGAAATTTTTAAGCTTCTTTCAAAAACACAAATTTTTCTTATATTTGGTATTCTTATATTTTTTTGTTCGATTTTTTCACTAATTCTATCATATTCGTTAATTTTTAATCAAGATTGAACTACTCATCATCACGTTTTGTTATAATTAACTTTTTTATTTTATTTATAATTTTCCATTTTAAAATTATTCAAAATATTCTTAATTAATGTTTTTATGCCTTTACACGCCTATCTCATTATATTTTTATTTAAGGAAAAATGTAATAATAAATTAAAATGAGCATACATTAAATTTGAAACAAAAATATATAAAAAATTATTTAAAAAGTAAAAAAACTTAATTCTTTTATTAAACTTATTTTCGCATTTCATTTTAATTTTTAGCAATTTAAAATTCTAGATTTCTAATTTCTTTCATTATTTATCTAAATCTTTTCCTTCAACACTGAAAATATTAATAATTACTAACCTTCATCAAATTAATTTAAAAACTAAACAGTAGAAGTTACAGCATATAATTAAATAACGTAATTCTTATGTTTTTCAAATATATATTCGATAAATTTATTCATATTTGCCTGATCGAGGTAAAATCAGATCTTCTAATAGTAATCCATAACTTAAAAATAAATATATTCGCTCTAGTTTTTTATATTTAAGCGTCACATTTTATTTTTTTAATTATATAGTTTTTGGAATATGAAAAATCTAATGAATTTAGTTATGTTTTCATTTTTTTTATGGAATTTGTAACCATTAATTTAAAGAAATATCCATTTTTTAATATTTATTTTTTTAAAAAAAAATTTAGTTAAAAAAAATACAAAAGAATATTAATAAAATTATATTTTAAAATATATAGTAATTATAATATATTCTTCTTATATTTATCATATAATTATTTAAGTAATTATATTATTATTGATAATAACTGTCAAATTATAATTAATTTATTTAATTGCATCGTTTTACGTATTTTATATTTCTATTGCTAAATCAAGAGAATAATAAATTCCTTAACTTTTGTTTTGAAAAGAACTTGATAATTCCTCTATTTAATTTATAGGAATTAATACTGTGAATCTTTTATTATTAAATTAATAAAATTAATTATTTAAATCTTCATAAATTCCTTTTTTGGTTCTAAATATAATTTTCTTTACAACCTTAGGGAAGCAATCTTCCATTTATTAAGGTATGGTAATTTAATATTATAATTTCAAATGTTATACTCCTTTTTCGTATACAGTTTCTTAAGTTTAAGTTGATATTATTTAATTTACAAATGCTCCAATGTAGAAGTCACACATTTCCACTTGAAGTATAGGTTTATCAGCTAAAACAAAAGAGCTTAATAATAAAAAAGCAAATAAGGTTATTATTTTTAACATTTTTTACTGTTATTTTATAATATTTTATTTTATATTTTTTTTTTAAATATTAATATATATTATTATTTTTTCATGCAAAATAAACCAATTTATTTTTATATTAAATATTATTTAGAAATAGAAAAAAAATATTAAAATAATAACTGAAAATAAGAATTTTCTATTATAATGAAGTGAAAATATTATAAAATTTTAAATTTAATTTTTATCCTTAATAATTTATATGTTTTTCGTTAAATTGATTTTTTTGTTTTTGTATTTCTTTTTTAAAATCAATAAAAAAAAAGGATAAGAAAATTTCTATTGAATTTTTTTTGTTTATTTGGATTAAGTATTTTTTTTTAAAAAATAAGATAATAATAATAAATTAATTTATATATAATATATAAATTGTATTAAATTAAAATTATATTTTTAATAAATATAAATTATAATAAAATACATTATATATTTATTTATTATATTTTTTATTTATTAAAATAAAAATATTCATTAAATTAAAAATATTTAATTTTATATATCTTATTAATTCTTATAAAATCTATTTAAAATAAATATAAATAAAAAAGAATTTTTTATTTTATAGAAAAAATATAATATATAAATAATTTTTCTATATTTCAATATCATAATAACCCTAAACTAATTTATGTTTTTAAAAAAAATAATAAAAATGATTTAATAAATATATATTTCTTAAATAAATAAATAATTTATAATATATAATCCCTTAAAATTAGTAAATTAAAATAAACAATAAATAAAAAATAATAATTATAAATTTGTTAAAGGAATATTTGTATTTATTTATTGGATATAATATTAATTTTTTTATCCTTAATAACTTATAAATACTTTTTTGAATATTTAAATAATTAATAAGCATTTTAAATTATTTTATTTTTATAAAATACTAAATTTTATTTAATAATTTGAAGTATTAAAATAATTAATATAATAAAAAATAAATAAAATGTATTATTTTAATTATGCTATTTTTTATTTATTATGATATTATTTTTATTTGCTTTTATATTTATATTTCTTATTATTATTATTATTATTTTAGTTTAGTACAGCTTCTTTATATTTATTATTCAATATTTACTAAATTTAATATTTTTCTTATTTAACTATTTTCATACGAAATCATCATTCATAACTCTATTACTATTATAGGCTTTTCTGGCTTTTTTTATTAAAGTCCAAAAATTTAATTGAGAAATTTAATTTTAATTTTTCTTATTTTCCTTCCTTTAATTTATACTTATTCCGATTATTTAGTATTTTATAATATCTTAATTTACTAGAAATTTTTGATAAATATCGATATTTTTTTTTTTTAAGCTAATATATGAAGTTACCAAAAAAACTCTAAATCTTTATTTTATTACTTAAAGAAGAGTTTTTTTCATATATTAACATATACATAAATTAAATTTACATTTTTAATTGTTAATTTGATATTTTTCTTTTTATTTCTCTAGAGATTTTATGCGTTAATTATAATTTTTTAATCTAATTTTAATACGAGCTTCTTCTTTTTAAGTTAATAATTTTCAATCGAGTTTCTTTTCTGAAAAATTTTTTAGATAAGGAATTAAATATATGACTATGTTTTGTTAAATTTTAATAAAAACTCACTTGGTATTATATTTTAAAAAAAATCAATTCGTTTTTAACTTCAATATATAAAATAACATAAAAATATCCATTGTTTTAATAAATATCCATTGTTTTAATAAATATCCATTGTTTTAATAAATATATATTTTCTTATTATAAATCATCAAAATAACTAATAATTAAATTATTAATTATAATTTAATTACAAAAAAAAAAAAAAATTTAATTAATTTTTATATTTTATATTAATATTTCTTTAAAATTTTTATACATTTTCATAAAATAAATTTATAGTATTATAAGTATACGTATGGAAAATAAGGCAATTGTTAATGTAAATTCCTATTTTAAACAAATTTTATCATTAAAATATAATAAATGTTTGAAAAAATGTATTAAAAATTTATTAAATTAATTAAAATAATCTATTTTTGAAACATAAGAAAAGCATATAGATTTTTTTGAAAAAAATAGAAATATTATTAAAATGTATATTGTAATAAAAAAATAATTAATTTATTTCTTAATTAATGATTAAATAAAATCCAGTTATTTATTTTAAGTTTCAATATTTATATATTTTAATTTATTTTATATAATCATTTATTTATATAAATTAATATTTTTGCTAAGTTTATTGATTTTATTTTTTTAAATAATAATTAATTATTTTAATTTAATATTTACATTAAATAATATAAATAAATGTTAAATTTTTATACATATACTTAATTATATGTTTGTTTTTGTTATTTTATATTTATCAAAGATTTTTATTCAAATTCTTATTTCATTTGTTTTTTTAAAATTAAATCCGTTTTTATTTTTGTTACATATTGTAATTTATTAATCATCAATACAAGAAACAGTAGTTGAATTTAGATAACTATTTTAGACTTCTTTAATTTAAATAAAAGCACTTAACAATTTTTCCTTAGTATTCCTAAAATTAAAGCCAGATTTTTTGATATTTTAAGTTAAAATATCTTCATTGTATAATCTTTATTAATTAGAATTATAAATCTAGTCATTTATAAAACAAGATTAATGAGTTTAATCTTAAATTAAATAACAATGCTTTTATAAAATACTATTTAGGATAACATTAGAATTTCTAAAATTGAACTATTTAATTTTATTATATTAATGATCCATATTTTTAAATTAAAAAATGTAATTTTTAAAAAAAAAACTATAAAAAATAATTAAAATCTATATAAATAATTAATATAAATATTTAAAAAAAAAATTATAAATAAATATATATTTATGAATAATATATGTATATAAATATATAATTATATAAATATATAATATATTTATTAATAAATATATCTAATCATTACAAAAACTTTGATTTTTATATATAATTTATTATAACATGTATTGTTTCAAATACAATTTCTTCAAAATCAGATACAAAAATTAAAACATCTTTTGTTTTTACTTTATCCTATTTTTATTTTAATTTATTAATATATTTTTATTATATAAATTATACTTTGTTTTCCATAAGTTAAACTTATATTTATTCTGTAAAATTAGCCTATATAAATTATTAGGTATTAATTACATTAAGAACAGTTGGATCTGATGAAATAAAAATGAAATTAAGTGATTTTTTATGTTAATTCATATAATCAAAAAATAAAATTTAATTATTATTTAATTCATTTTTAAAAAGTTATATAGACTAAGTTATCTCAGGAAGCTAAGTATCTATTTTAACAATCCAAGAATAAATTAGTTGATTACTTTTTTCATCTACAGCATTAATTTTGACTCTTTAAGTATTATTTCTCATACTTTTAATAGTAACATCAATTAAATTATTCCTTCCAGGTTATAAATAAAACTACTTATCGAAAGGAAAAGGAAACCATAATATATCTGAATGAGAAGAATATAATTTAATAGTTCTAGGAATATCACCTTGAATTTAAATTTTAATATTTGTACTTTATGCCATAACAACATTAACATTAAATCCATCAATCGAATGTAATTCAATTTAAAAAGTACCTAATAATTGTTCTCTATATACAGAAGAATATAAATATACAAAAAACTTTTTTATATGTCCGATTTCTCCCATTTTTGTAAAAAATAAAATTTAACGCGAATTAACCCATTATGCTTCTACATCTGGGTTAGTTATATGTATTTCTAGACTAAATTTTTATAAAAAATATTTAAATAAAAAAATAATACTTTTTTTCAGGCGGTGGGTATGCTAAGAATAAAGGAGGTAAAGTTAATTATATAGGAGTTTAATACTTTTCATAAAATCTAAATACATGGTTAGGGGAAGGACCATCTTAAGTAATATTAAGTTTGAATCCTCCCTGTACAATATTATTTTAAAGTGAAAAATAAACATTAATTAATTTTTGACCATTTTCTTCATTTTAATCACTATAAGAAAGAAATTTGAATAAAAAAACAACTTCTTCTTAACTCTAAAGTATAATAGTATTATTATGAATTATGTCGAATTCTTAAGGAGGTTTAACTTAATACAATTGAGTAAAGTATCTCCATTCTTATGGATCCGAAATCAAAGAAAATTAATTTTTTTATTTAAATTAACTTTCAATAGTTATTTAAAAGCATTAAGATTCCTCAAAACAATTTTAAAAAGTGAACGGAATAATTTATAAATTCCCTTATTAAACTTTCAAGTTTTTTTCTTCTTATAAAAATTAAGAAATTATACCTTAAATAAATTATGGCTTTTTCTTTTATTTGAACTCATTTATTTAAGAAATCCTATAAGAATTCACCTAAAAATAATTATCATCTTAATTTTTCCTATTTAAAGATGCATTTTTAAAATGCTTTACTCTTTCTAACTTTTGAAAATTTTCATCGTTTAAATTTATATTTTCGGGCTTTTTTAGTTAATTTTAGGGCAAAGAAATCGAATTTGTGGAAACCACTTTTATTTTGTTTCCTCTTTTTTTATTTTGGATTGTTTTAATATCTTTAATATTATTTTTTTGTAAATCTTTTATATTTTGTAATTAATTTTCTAATGTATATTCACTATTTTCCTTTTCTTTACAAATATTATCAATTTGTATTTACAATTCACCTTTTAATCCCATAAAAGACTCATCTATTACATCTAAATCCTACATAAAATATAATATAAATATATTTTTTAATTTAATTGTTTACTATAAGTATATTTTTTCTTTTTTATTTATTTCTCAAAATATCTCTTAAAGCAAATTTACAAGTCCCATATAAAAAATGAGAATCTGCATCCCACACATCTATAATAAGTGATTTTTCTGCACAATAAAAGGCAAATTCTTAATAAATATTTTATTAATTATTTTTATTCTGTTATTAAATTTCGAATTAAAACTAAACTTTCTGTTCCATTTCTAATACTTATTCATAAACTTTCTTGATAAAAAATAAAGGTTTTTTATTTGAAATTATTTATTTTATTTAGTCTTGATCATTAGCTTATTAATAAGTAAACATATATGTCACATATAAAGGAAAATTGAAAAATTTTGTAGTTAAATAAAAGTTTTTCGGTAAACTTTAATAAGACTTAGCCTTAAATGAAATTATGTTAAAACTTATCAGTGTATGCTTCATATCTTCATTAGTAATTTCTATTTATGCATTTTATTCTACTACGTCATCTAAAAGCCCGAACAAGTTATTGTTTATAAGTTATACGATTTCTTCTTCTGTATATTCCATTTTTTCGTATTAGGGTTATGAAAAAAAAACTCTAAAAGGATCATCATAGGTTACTTTGAGGAATTGATTTTAAGTAGAAAAATCTACAAGAGTTTTTGAAAATCCAGATTTTTTAATTTTTTCTTCTTTTTTTTATTTTTCTAAGATTATTTTTTGCTTTAGTTCATTAAGTTCAGATTTCGTATCAAAATATTAAGTTTAGGCAAGTCTTTTTGGATATTGTTAGGTATAGCTATTTTAATTTAAACTTTATCTTTGAAATTCTTATTATTAAGTTTAATAAAATGTTTGGTCTGTTTTTTAAAGATTTAAATTTTATTAGTAGTATTATTGCTGTTTATTTAAATCTTAATTAAATATATTGCTTTAATTTTAAGGATAATATGGATAGTTTTGTTATAAATATTATTAATTTTATTATTTATATATAATTTATTCTTATTAATACTATTATTAATATGTATTTTATTATTATTAATATATATTTTATTATTATAAATTGTTGTTATTTTATTAATATTATTAATTATTAAAGCTATTTTAATTTTCATTATTAAATTTCGATTATTAAAATTGATTTTAGACCTATAAATTTTATTATTAAAACTCATTTTATTTATTTTTATTTATATAATAATTTTGCTTATTATCTTATTTAACATTCATAAACTAATTTTTCTAAATGTTCTAAAATTAACTAAAATTCCCTTTTTGTTAAACATTCAATTATTACTAATCTATTTAATTAATTTCATCTTATTTAACTTTAAATTGACATTGCACTTAAATTTTAAAAGCATCTTATTTCGGTAAAGTAACTAAAATATTTCCATCAATATTTTTCCCTCCTCCACACACCATAACCTCCTTAACGTTAAACTCATCTTTATCGAGTCTATTAAAAATACTGATAGGTACCCAAGCTAATATTTTACTTGAAATTTATTTAATTTAAGTCAAATACTCAATATCATACTCTAACTACAATATAATCGCACTCAACTCATGGTTAAAAACATTATCAATTTGCTACATTCCTTCATACATTAAACAGACTTCATTATTTTCATTTTTTAATCCTTTTTTTGATTCTTTTAATATAATTTTATTTTAAATTCCTCCTGTATTTACATAATGCAAGCCATTATGAAAAGCACATACTAGTCTTTTTTCCTTAAAATATACAGTATTTTCGTGCTCACTGTAAATTTATAAAAATTTTTAAATTTACCTTGTCAACTGCCTTTCTAATTAATCAGAAAAAGTAATTTTAGCAAAAGATAAATAAATTTTATATGTATTAAGTTATTAAAAATATGTATTTTATAAATTATTTTCATTAAATATTGGATTTACGATTTCTAAAATACCAGGAATTGTATCTTCAGAAGATATTAATATACTTTCAGGAAACAAATGGTAAACATCGTTTAATTATGAACATTAATTTAATGAAAATGCAAATCTTATGGATGAAGGAATATTTTATGTTTCTTTTTATTTACTTATAAATTATCTTAAAGTTTCTTTTTTTTTTATTAAAAATTTTTTTATTAATATATTTTTTTTTTTACAATTTTTCAAAATTGTATATTATTTAGTTTTTGAAAAATCTTAAATATTTATTTCTCCAATTCCTAAAGAAGAAAAATTATATATAGTATCAAATTAACCTATTTCGAGAATATATACCTCAAAAAATAATCCTACACTTAAATTTCTTTCAAATTAATTATAATAATATAAAGAAAAAGGTTATTAAAAATCAAATATATATCCGCTTTGGGTAAGAATTAAATTGTAAGGCTTTGTCTATATTGTTCTTCCGAAAAATTATTTTAATTGCCGGGAATAAAATTAAAATGAAAATTTTAATTTTATATATTTTGTATTTTTATTCTTTATTTTTTATATAAACTTTATTTTTTTAATTTTTACTTTAACTTAATATTAAAGCCCATCTACTTAAATTAATTAAAATCTTGAAAACACTGGCACTTTGTTTGGATTAGACATTTTTAATTATTTTGCGGATATTTATTTTATAGAATTTTTAAATTTATACCATTTTCTAATATTTCCTGTATCATCTTATGTATTGTCCTATTTTTGTATTTAGTATTTATAAAAAACATAAATTATTTAAAAACTGAATTAATAATATTAGGTTATTAGCGCGCATTTTTTTGTTAATTTAATGGTTATTACATTAAAATAAAGTTATTTTAAAATTTTAAAAAATATTTTATTTAAAATAAAATAATATAATTTTTAACAATATTTTTTTTTTTTTTAAATAAGTTTTTTACTAAAAACTATATATAATTTATATTTTTAAAAAATTTATTAATAAAATTCTGACAAATAATCGCATTAAATATACTCTTAATATAATATAAATAGAGAAAAATATATGATTTTTTAGAATAATTTAATAATTAATACTAAATTACAATAAATTTTGGTTATTAAAGTTATAATGCAATCAATTGTTATATTAATAAACGAAAGAATAATTAATAATTTTTTGTAGATTAAAATAATTAATAATTTTTTATGAGTAAAATATTGATTCAGAAGATAATATGGATATTAACATGAAAAAATACTTAAATAAAATAAAGAATTAAATTAGAGATTGGTTAATGGAAGCAATTAAATTAAAAATAATTAAATAAAAAAATGAAAAAATATAGATTTATAAATAAAAAATCAATAAAAAATATTAGATTAAATTTGATGAAGTAAAATTTTAGACATAGAAATTATAATAATGATAATAATAATAACAATTAAAGAATTAATTATTAAAAAATAAAATCATTTGTGCTTATTTATATTTAATTTTTTTCTAAATGTATTAAATTTAGAAAAAGAAAATAAGAACTTTTTTTAAAAAAAAATATATTATTATAATATTAACTTAATAATAATAAGATTTTTCAGAATAAAATATACTTTATAAGTATAATTAAATTTTTGAAAAACAATTAATATAAATTCATAAAGAAAACCAAAGTATATAAGTTTTATTAAATTAATAAAATAAAAACATCCTTTTTGAAAATAAGATTTCTTAAGATAATTAATATATATACTTACTTCTGATAAAAATTGACAATTAATAATTAATTTAAAAATACATAATTAAATAAAGAATAAAGTTACAAAAAATATGAAATAATTATTAGAGAGAAATCTCATTTTTATTAAATTAAAATAATAAAACTATATAAATTAAAGTAATTTTATTAAGTCTTAAAAACTGTAATAAAAAAAGAAAAAATATCGCTTATGCTAAACAAAAATTAATTGAAATAATATTAATATATGTATAATAATAACTATATTTACATAAAAATAATTATATGAAAGACTGGTTTAAAAATATTTAGGATTTTTAAAAAACATATTTTATAAATTTAATTATTTCTTGTATAAAAAAAATATATATTTATTTTTCTTAAAATCTATTATTATTATTATTTAAAAGTTTAAACATCAAATATTTTTTATTAGATTTTCATATTCTTTAAAGTTTTATGTAAAAATTTCAAATGCTCTTAAACCATCTGGTGCAAATTATGATTTGTTTTTGATAATTTCGGTAATTTCTTAAAAACTCATTTCTTTAGCTTCATCAACTTCTTCTTTTTAAAGTGTTAATTATTAATCAGTTTTAGCATAAAATACTTTACACCAAACAGGCGCTGATAAAGGTACATCATCCTAATAAAAAGTAAATAAAGGTACCATTTTTTCATTTACCCCTGCCTCTTCTAAAAGCTCTCTTTGTGCATTTTATTCATAAGTTTCATTATATTAAATTACTCCTCCAAATGCTAAATCCCATAAACCTGGGCACCATTTTTTTAGTTACGATCTTTTTGATATGTATAATTTTTAATTTTTTCTGTTTTCTAAAAATATAAGAGTAGTTCTATGAATTAATAATTTATCTCTCATTTCTTGCCTTGTAGCTGCCCTTATGGGATTGTTTTATCTGTCTACAATTTATATAATTTCCTAAGCTTCTGAAATCATTTTTTTTAATTATTTAGTTTATATTGAAAAATTGTAAAATATCATATAATTACTAAATATAAAATTATTAATATTTGATATTTATATATATTTTGTACAAAAAAAACATAAATTAATAATTTTCATATTTTCATTTTTTCGTAAATTTTCTTTTAATCTAAAATATAATTTCTATATATTTTATTTTAACAATTTTTAATTTCAGATTCACTAACCAAATTATAGCAATTTATATTTTTTTCATTATATTATTCCTATAAATTAAAAAAAAAATTAAAATAATTTGTTTTTTAATTATTTTTTTTTAACTTAAACTTTTTCTAATTATTCAAGCGTTTTTTTAAAAAAAATATCAACATTTTCAGATTATTTTTAATGAATTTTTAAACAACTTTCAATATTTTAAATATAACTTTAGTTTTATTCATTTTATTTCCGTTCTATTGAATAACAATCAGCATACTTTTATGTAATATCAGTCTTTATAAAAAAAAGTAATTTATTATAAAATTATAAAAAATCTTTTTAAAATACATCTTCCTTGATTAAATTTCTATATATCAAAAGCCTCATAACTAAATTTTAATATTCCTAATTTTTATGTATATCTCCACTTAAAGTAACATATAAAGGTTTAAATAATGAACTCATATATATTAATATAATTTATTTATTAAATCTATTTTATTAAATTAAGATTTATTAAAATATATATTCAATAATATTTTTTATTTAAAATAATTATTATTTTAAAATATTATTGTATATTTATTTTATTTTTAAAGAGATGGCTTTAAATAATAACCCTTTTGACTAATTAGTAAAAAAATATCCATTAATTTAATTCTAAAATAAAAAAAATATTAAAGCAAGAAGACAACGAAAATTGCGGATTTTAAAATAAAATTTATGAAAATGAAGATTTATTTGAATTAAAAGCATTTGATTTGAAAAAATTTCCCGACGAAAAAATAAAAATATTCAAATCTTCTTCAAAATAAATAATAGTCGTCACAATTACAAATAGAATATTTCGTTGGCGTTATGAATTAGATGACGAATTCATAGAATACGAAATTCCCGAAAAAAAAGATGAAGGAAACATAATATCAACAATCGCAGGTGTAGCAAATTTAGCCAAAGATATAGGAAAAAAAATGCTTTTTATGAATACAAATAAAAAAAATACATACATAGAATAATTTTTTTTAGATGTAAAAGGTATTAAATAATGTCTTTTTTTTTTTAAAAAAAAATATGTAAATATAGGATATCATTGTATATTTTGTTCTGATCAAGGACTTAATTTTTATTTTGGATATAACTAATAAAAGATTAAAGTTTTAAAAAACATTAAAGGAGATGAGTTTACTATTAGAAGTGCAGCTTTCGATGAAACATGTACCGAAACAAATACAAAAGTAAAAATTCTATATTTAAAAAAAAAAAAAAATTAATTTATTTATTTGAAAAAGAACATGCTTTTAGGAACAACAGACGGAGTATTATACATTTATAAAATTGAATATTAAAAAAACACAAATGAATTAATTGAATCTAATCCAGATAGAATTTTATAAATTCCGGAAAATCGACCAATTTTATAAATTGTATACTTTTTAGTTTAAATATAATAATAAAAATAATAAACTAAAACCGGATTAGTTGTTTTATCAACTAGTTAATCTTTGTATACTTTTACAGGGACTTCAGATCTATCTTTACTATTGAGTAAATATAAGTAGGTAGAATTAGAAAAATTAGAAAAAGTGACTTTTAATCCTTCTGAAAGTTCTCTTCTGGATGTTTGTTATGAAATAGATAATAAAGGAAATAGGTCTCCTTAAAGCATTATTTGGACTAACGGATATAGATTAAATTATTATATTGTATTTAAAAATATATATTTTATAATATATTTAAATAAAAATTTAATAGATTCCTAAAAACTAAAATTAGTTCAATGAAAAATTTTTAAGCTAACCATCATATTATAGATATGCAAAATAAACTGATTAAACAGAATAGGAAAAATAATTAAAAGTAGAATAAATGCCTATTGATATTTGTTTAACTTTATATCATTATTTTATTTTACATTAAGATTCTTTAACCATACTATCAAGAATAAATGAAAAAGTTGTTTAATATTTTGATTTAAAATCAATAGGTAAAATTTTAGGAATGAGCTTTGACATAGAAAACTAATAAATTTGGATTTATTCTAACAGAAAAATTTAAAAATTAATTATTTAAAATGAAGATAAAGTACTTTTATTAAAAATTAAAAAAAATATATTTATGTGTATATATATATTAAAAAAGGATGCTTGGAAATTATATTTAGAGAAAAAAGAATATAAATAAGCCTATGAAATTAGCTCTAAAAATAGTTTAGAAGTTACCGAATATGTAATATTTTTTATTTATTTTTTTATAAAATAAATAAATAAAAGCTTTCAGGATTATATGCAGATGAGCTTTTTGAAAAAAGAAATTATGTATTAGCTGCTTAATAATATTTTCAAACAGAAAGGAGCTTTGAATAAATAACATTAAAATTTATACAAGGATATTAAAATACTAACGAAGTAGAATTAAATGAAGGATTAGAAAGTAAAAAAAATAGTTTAATTTTAAAATATTAAATATTATAAAGCTTATTTAGAATTATGGTTGAAAAAATTAAAAAATGAAGAAAATTTAAAGGCTTAAAAATGCATATTATTAATATGGCTTATTGAAATTAAAGTCTAAAAATTAAATTATTTAGAAGCTAAATACTAAAGTAAATAAAATCAATTAAAAAAATTAAAAGAACAGGACGAATTATGGGATCGCACATATAACTAATTTCTTTAATTAAATGATAAGTTCAAAAAAACCGAAACCGAATTCAAAAAACTACTAAGTGACAATTTGAATGATTTGGAAGAAAATATTGTATATTAAATAATGTAAAGCCACGGAAGACTTAAAGATTGTTTAGAATTTGCCTAAAAAAATTCATACGAAATGATTATTTTGCATCATATAAATGAAGAATAATATGACTAAGCACTTAAATATTTATTCTAAATCAAAGAAAAACACATAAATGAGGTTTTATATAAATATTGCCATATTTTTATGAGATATAGAACAGAGTAAACTATTTAACTTCTCTAAAGGTACACAAAATATAAACCTTAGAAATTAATAGGGGGTTTAATGAGTATACATATGGAAAAAAGGGATTAAGGAATAAATTATATATAACATTTATTAAATAATGGATGTAAAGACAAGGTTATTCATAATATCTTAATTTTATTTTTGTCAGACCCTTCTAAAAAAAATAAACTTAAAGAACATCTTTATTAATAAGAGAAAATTTTATAGGAAAAAGAATAGGTCAACTTTGACTTAGAATTCGCCTTGAGATTATTCAGAACTAATAAATTGTATTCACCTTAAATATAAATTTATGGAATGATGGGTATGTATAGTGAAGCTGTAGAACTTGCTTTAAAAACTAATCATATTTAATTAGCTAAATAATATGCTGATAAACCTATTAATATAGATTGTAGGAAAAAACTCTGGCTGAATATAGCAATACATTTATTGGGAAAAGGAGGAAATAATATAGATGAAGTCATTTAGTTAACTAAAGATACGGATTTGTTAAAAATAGAAGATTTGTTGATGCATTTTAATGAAAATATTAAAATTGAAAACTTTAAAAAAGAAATTTGTGAAAGTTTACAAGAATATAACAAAGAGATTGAATAACTTTAAAGTGATATGGAAAGCTATTCAAGTAATGCAGATTAATTAAAAAATGAACTGAGAATTATTAAAAATAGATATATTGAAATTGAGTCAAATCATACATGTGAAGAATGCTTCAAAAATCTTTTTAATGAAGCTTTTTATGTTTTTCCTTGTATGCATGCCTTCCATAAAGTATATATATATATATATATATTTATATTTTAAATAAAAAAATAATTAATTGTTTTTTTTTAGGATTGTTTATTAAGTAAAGTTAAAGAAAGTTGCACAGATTAAAATAAAATTAAATAAATCGAAAAGCTTAATAAAAAAATAGAATAATTATAAGCTAAAATGAATAGAGTAGAATAAAGAAAAAGTAATAAAAATTATTTATTCATTTTTTATATTTTTTTATTTTAGGAGATTCTATTGATAGTGGTTTCTTTAATTTTGTAAATATATTTACAGGCAGACTTTCGGAAGATGATTAATAATAAGCTCCTGTAATGTCACCAGAAGAAGAAAGATAGCTAGAATAAAGCAGAGTAAAATAAAATATAAAATTAATGGATTATAAAATTTTAATATAAAAATAAGAATTAATTTGACACAATTCTAGCAAACGAATGTATTTACTGTGGTCCTAGTATAGTTGAAAGTATTTTCTAACCTTTTGAATAAGATGATGATTTAAAGGAAAGTTGGAAAATCTGATGCTGTAGTCGTTTTTTTAAATATTTATACAATATTGATTAATTAAATATTTTAAATAAAATTTATAGATTAATTAAAAAAGATTAAATATTTTTTTTATTAACTCTATTATTCCTAATATTATTATTTTCATTAAACTGTTAACTTTAAATAAACTTATTTTTATATTAATTATATTTAAAAAAAATATATTGAATTATAAATAAATATATTTATTTTATAAAAAATATTATTTATTATTAAAAGGCACTATATTTATTTATAAAATAAAAAAGAAAAATAGATAAATAAGAATAATAATATTGGTTATTTTAAAATTAATTTCTTATGTATAATATATAAATAAAAACCTATAATTAATATATTATATATAAATTATGTCTATATATTTAATTTTTTCATATTAAATTCATATAATTTTTTTTTTCTTATAGTATTAAAAAAAAAAATTATTAAAAAATAAAATAAAAAAATATCTACTTTAATGTCTGAAGTTCTAGGCGGATTACTTGTAAAATAAATAAATTTTTAAAACAAATATAAAAAATAGGGAAAATGTGCAGAAATAAAAAGAGCTGAATAATTTAAAAATATTGTTCAAAAGCAAGAAAAATCTTAAGCTGATATATAATTCATTATAAAATACATAGATAATACATTTTAAAAAGAGCAACTTTAAAAATTAACTGGATAATTTGAATTTACTGAATATAATAATGTATTTTTTTGAAAAATATATATTTTTATTTTTACTATTTATTTAAGATTCTAGAAAAACTTGAATGCTAAACTTTAAAAGAAAATTAAAATTTATATGAAAATAGCATATCTTGTAATGATTTTGATTTACTTTTTGTAGCATACGGTATATTATATTCATTTTTTAAAATAATATGAATATTTATAAAAAAAGGTAATGTAAAAGTTGTTTATGGTCACTAAGAATAACAATTAAGTATAAAAATAAGCAAAAAATTTATAAAAAATTAAAAAAATAAGATGATTTTAAAAAATTTTAAAATGGTGAAATAATTTTATTAGATTAATAATTTACTGAGTGCATTTTAGGAAAAATTGAAGAGTAATTTAATATAATATAAAATTATATACTAATTAATTAGTATAAATAATGTTTATTTTAACTTAATTGCTTAAAATGAATGTTTAATAGCAAGAGTTAATAGAAGGTTTTTTAATGATATTTACAATGTATAATTTATTATATATTTTAATGAAAATAATTAATAATTTTTTTTTAATAAAAAAAAGAAAAGTTTAGAAAAATTCGAATAACATTTTAAAGAAAAAATAAACTCATTAAAATAAGTTTTTCCCAATTTAAAAAAATTAGACTAAGCGACATAAATGATAAAATCAAAATTTTTCTAACCATATTGTCAATAGACTTACGGAACAGTTATTTCCACTACTACTAGTGGTTCAAATGATTTATTTTTGATTGCAAAAGGAAAAATTTTAATATGGGTTCCTAAAGCTAAAATAAATAATGATTATAGCAAAGGTTTTATTATTTTTTTTACAATTTTTTTATTTATTAAAATAATAGATTTTATTATTTTGGGACAAATATCAAATAACTAAATATTTAATGAAACTAATGCATTATTTAATAAAGGTTTTTTAATATAATTTTTTTTTTAAAAAAAAATATAACAAAAAATATATTTCTAGAATGCATTTATGGAGCAATAATTGTAACTAAAAACGATGAAAATGAAATATATTAAATAAAAAAAGAAAACATAGCTTAAATATCTGAAAATTTAGATTTACTAAAGGCAAATTGTGAAATAAAAGAAAGAATGTACAAAAACCATATAAAAAGATACTAAGGCTACAAATTAGAAAAACTGGAAGAAAAATAAATAGAATTATGTCAAAAATACAAACTAGACTTTAACGAAATATTTGAAATATTCAAAAAATCATCCAAAAACAAAAAAATAGTTACACACAATATAATAAACAAGCAAGACTATAACAAAAATATGGAACAATTTAATTAAATCGTTAAAAATTCGAATTTTAAAAGTACAGAAATGTAAGGAGATAGAGAGGATATAGCATCAACAGTAACTCCTAGATTGGTCTCTAAAGGAATAAGATAAATGGATTCAGCTGCGCAAATATCTTTACTTGCTTTAAGATCTATAGGCAAAGATTTAAGAGAAGGTTTTTTATTATTAATAAATTTTTATTTTATATATATATTTTAGGTAATAGAGGAGTTAATTAAAAAGTTTCTGATGTTGATGCTAAAAAATTGTTTTAAGAATAAACAGAAATAGAAAAAAAGAATATGTAAAATGAAGGACTTTTGATAAAAAAAAATATTTAATAAATCGATTTATAAAGCAAAACAAATGATAAAAAAAGCTTATAGTAAAAATTTGGTTAAGATAATACAAGTTTACTACAAAAATTTGATATAAATATAAAATAAAACAATCAATAAAATAAAGAAACACCAAAAGTTGTAAAAATGTCAGAGTTTTCTTTAAATTAGTCAAACGGAATATAATTAAATAAAGCATTTTTAGGAATTGCTATAGAAGATATTTAAGACAAGGATAATAAGCCACAATAAAATAAAGATAAATTTTAAGAATAGAGAAAAAAGTTAATGAAATTAGGTATATGAAAAAGATGATAAAATTAAAAATAATAAAATAAAAAATTGATAAAAATATAAAAATAATGAGAAAAAAAAAAATATATATATATATATATATATATATTTATATTTAAATTTCATTTATATTTATATTAAATAAATTTTAAAGTATATATATAAGAATTAAAATTTCTGATATAAATAATATATTTTTATAAGAAAAATATATATTATATATTTTACAATATTTTTCATTTTTTTATTTATTTAGTGTTTTCTTATTTCTGATTATTTGAATTTTTATTTTTATATTAAATCTTTTGTTAAATAATTTAAATATTTTTATTATCTTCTAATGTTAAGTTTTCTTCAATATCATATTTATATATATTTTTAAATAATTTTAAGGCTAATGTATCCATGAAGTTGCTTTGCATTATTTTATTTAATTTTTACATTAATATTTTTCCTTAATTTATGCTTATCAAATTGAATACATTTTAATTTCTACATATTGTTAATAATCTAATTAAAAAAATGTCATCATCTATTCATTAATTAAATTAAAAAATATTTAAATAATATACCTATTTCTAAAATTAACTAAAAAGCATTATTATAATTATTCTTATCTATTTAATCAAGAGCTTTTTCCCATATTTCTCCTAATGATATATTATTATTTGGTTTACTTTTTATGAAAACGTTAGAAGGTATTTCGTTCTTTTTGAATATATAATAAATTATATAATTAAATTACTTTATTCATATATTTAGATACTATATCATACTAATTATCTTCAGATTTTTTTACATTACTAAACTATTAATTTTAATTGAAATACATTTTAAAATATTAAAAAATAAATCTATCTATAAATGAGTTAAAAAAATATTAGAAATTTTTAAAAAATATATTTAAATTAATAATAAAATAAAAATTTACAATTGAAAATAAAAGTACATTTAGTATTAAAAATATAAATAAAATAATTTAATAAAATATAAAAAAAAATTCATTTTTTTTTTCATTAAAATAAAAAAATGTTTTATATATAATTCTTAAAAAAAACAAAAATATTTAAGTTTCAAAACAATTTCTGTACAAAAAAATTACTATCAAACATATAAATAAACCATAAACTTTAAGACAGTATTTCCGAAAAAAACTTAAATGAAATTTTTAATTAATTTTTCGATTAATTTAATTCAATAAATTATTCAACAATTTTCAGACGTATATACCAATTATAAAAAAACTCGTATGATTAATAATTTCTTCTAAAAATAGCTCAATAAGTAGAAAAATAAATAAATTTACTGTAATTAGACATTCCCTAAAATGCACGTTGTTTAACTCAAATAATGTTTTATTTGACAAAACTTACAGGAAAAAAAACAAACGAAAATATCGAAAAATTAATAAAAAATCTTTCCTACATAGGTATTAAACAATATGAGCATATGAACGATTAAGAAAGAGCCAACTTTATATATTCCTTAGTAAAAAAGCAATAATTAGATTTATTTGATGAAAGCTTTATAAAAACAATACACAATTTGATTACAAAAGAAATCCTTGTGAAAAGTCTTTTGAGTATAATGCACAATTTAACTGAACGAAAAATAAAAAACATCGAAAAAATACTAATTAAAATAGATCAAATATTACAAAAAAAAATTTTAACTAAAACATATAAGCAAGAGATATAGCAGACATAGTATACATATATTCAAAAAGTTAATACATAAAAGAACTAAATGAATCGCCTATTTTTTAAAAAATCGAAGATTTAGGGCTGCCATATTGCGAAAATGTCCATTTTGATTCATTTTCGATTTCTACTCTTTTTAATGCAATTGGAAATTTCAAAGAAAATAAATTTTCTGATTAATTTTATCAAAAATTCGACTCCTTTTTGTAAATTCTAAAGTTTTAAAATATGAGAGAATTAGCCAATTTTTTACGAGGCTTCATTTAATTTTAAACACCTTCTTAAGGGATTTGGGATAATGTAGAAAGACAATCAATTAAATTTTGTGATAAAAATTAAAGCGATATAATGTCTTTTTCTACTATTTTGTATACTTTTGCAATTAATTAAAAGGGGCGTTCAAAGTTTTATTAAGTTTCTGAAATGTATATAATAAAAAATTTGCATAAGATCGATTGTAAAAGCTTTTCTTTTGTGTTTTTTAGCTTGAAATTCCATAATGTCAAGCTCTAGAGGGAAAATAAGGATATTTTATTTGATCATTTTATTAGTAATTTTTAAAAATTTAGGCTTAATGAAATTTCTAATGTTGTTTGTAATATAAATTAATTTGAATAAGATTTTGAGAGGTGCAAAGTTATTTATGATTTTATTATTAAATAAATGAATTAATAGTTGTTTTTGCAAAACATTAAGAAAGAAATATTAGAAAATTAATAAAATAAAGAAAATTTGGAAGCTGTTATTAAATATTTGTAAATTCATGTGATTGATGTTAATATTTAAAGAGATTTTTAGATATTACTTGATTTTTGTTTAAAAAATGATATAAAACTTGAATTAAATATACTTTGATTTTTTGTTTTAATTATACTTTGTTAATTTTTTAAATTATATATTAATTTTTTTTCTAAATTTTTTATAATTAAAAAAAATATTATTATAAAAAAAAATGCCAAGAATATAAACCTTAAAAACAAAAAAAGCGCCCAAAGGTTGGGATTTAGTTGAAGAAAAATTAATGGAATTAACAAATAAAATGAGAGATGTAGAAAACGAGCCACATGAAGGTAAAAGGAAGGTAGAAGCATTATGGCCTATTTACAGGTTGCATCATGAAAGATCAAGATATATATATGAAATGTATTATAAGAAAAGAGAAATTTCAAAAGAGTTATATGAATATTGCCTAAGAGAAAATTGGGCAGATGCAAATTTAGTTGCTAAATGGAAAAAAGCTGGATATGAAAAATTATGTTGTTTATAATGTATATAACCTAAAGATCATAATTATGGTGGAACTTGTGTTTGTAGAGTCCCTAAAGGATCTTTAGAAGAGGGTAGAATAGTACAATGTTAAGCTTGTGGATGCAGGGGATGTGCTTCTTGTGATTGAATATATGTAAATTATACATTATTATCTCATAAATTTAATTGTTTTTAAATACATAAAATATTTACTTAATCTTATTTTTAATTTATAATGAAATTTATATTAACAAATATTATGCTATTTTGACTATTTTTTTGTTTTTAATACAAATTTTATATACATTTTATTTTAAAATAAATCATTTTTATTTCATAATTTTTTAAATTAATTAAAAAAATTAATTTTATATTTAATTTATGTCTATAAAAAATATAAAATTATAAAAATATAAAAATTAAATAAATAAATATAATAAATATTTATATATTTTAAAATTTAAATATTATATAATATTTTTAAAAAATAATATTAAAAATATAATATTTTTTTAAAAATATTTATATAAAATAAATAATATATTTATTTATAAAAATTTTGACTTAACATTTCATTATTAAATTAAAAATATCTAAAATCAAATATATTATTAAAAAAATTTTAAAAATAAAAACTATATAAATAAATATATATTTACATACAAATAAAAAATTAATTTATATTTTTAAGTAACATTCTATTATTAAAAAAAAAAAAAAAAATATTATATAAAAGATTATAAATTTAATTTTTTAAAACCAAATCAATATTAATAAAATATAAAGTACATACTATTCTATTTTTATTAATTTAAATATTAAAAATATTATATAATCAAATCATTACAATTAATAAAATCATCTAAATAATATTTTATTTTTGTTTAATTTAAAAATAAAAATTACAAAATTTTAATTTAATTTAAAATAACAATATAATAAAAGTTCAACATTATTTAATAAATTAAATAAAAATTAAGATAATCTTTGTAAATATTAAATAATTTATTATTTAAAAATAAATATATATTATTTAGAATATAATTTTTATAAAAATTAATTTATACGATATACAATTAAAATCAGTATTTTGGAATAAAAAAGAAGTTTAAAAAGATAAATAAAACTATCAAAAATTAAAATTTATTAAAACATATTTATTATATAAAATGATTAAAATTACAATTAATAAATTTAATAATTTATTTTAAATGATAAATAATATACTTATATAAAAATTTAATATACAAATTAAATATAAATAATTTTATTAGATTAAAAAAAAAGAGTTAATATATATAGAGATATATTTAAAAATATTATGAATATGTATATATTTTAGTATTTAAATTAAAAAAAAATGAAATAAAAATATTAAGTATATATATTAAAAATTAAATAATGTAATTATTATAAGCAGATATATATTCAGTAATAATAAAAAGAAAACAAATAGATTTTTATAATTATATATATATAAAAATTATGATATATATATATATTTATAAAAATAATGTATAAGTCTAAGAAATATATTTTTTTTAATAATAATATATTTTTAATTAATAATTAAAAATATCTATTTATTTATAAAAAATCTACATTATAAGCAAAACATAATTTAAAAAAATTACAAATTAAACTAATGAATAATTTTAAGAATTTTATTTTTTTTAATAATATTTATATATTTGTGGTCTGCTTTTATTTCTATATAAAAAAATAATACATAAAAAAAATGAAAAAATAATCAATAAAAAATAAAGTATATGATTTAAATTTACCAATATAAAACTGGAAAGAAACATTTATCTAGTACTTACAACAATAATATTTAGAAGAATTTATATTAGACCAAGCATTATAAGACCCCATAAAATCTCGTTATTTTTATTTTTTTAGAGGTTTAATATACGAATATGCAAATGAAATAATAGAAATAAACATCGAAAAAGCCTAAGATGCTTATATGTAGGGTTTTTTATTACAAAGAGACGCTTTTTGTGCATATAAACTGGCCGAAATAAACTAATCAAAAAATAACTAATCAAAATCTTTATTTTTTTTGCTTTTTTCGGCAAGCCTTATTGATTTATAATATAGTAGTTCTTTAATAAATGCAAAAAAAGAAGCAATTAAATAACTGGAATTATATGAGGAAAAATATAATATATACAGTTTTTTATTAGAAAAATATGGCGAGGAGTATTAATTTTCATTATAAGAAAAATAAATATACGAAAAATTGTTTTTTTTCCAATATTCAAGCTCTTAGGAGTCTCAAGAATATTTTAATGAATTAATTTCATGTTTTAAAAATTAAATTTTTTATCGAAATTCTCTATAAAAATAAAATATAATTTATTTAATATATTAATTTTAAATATTAACTAAACATACATAAAACGAAAATAAAAATTTAGCATAAATAATTGAAAATGCTAAAGAATTAAATTTAGAGACTCATGATGAAGTATTAAAAGTTTTGAAAAAAGATATAAATTTTTTGATAAAAAATACATTCGATGATATTATTTTTTATAATTTTAGGCAAATATGGTTTGAATTTTTTAATTTTTATAAAAAGTTTTATGTTAAAATTCATACTAATAAAAAAGATAGTCCTATTTGGATTTAAAATTTCTATATTTGTGAACTAATCTATTCAAAAATTAAAATTATTAAAACAAATTAATTACACAACGCTTTTATTTTAAGAGTCAAAGCCGAAATGTTGGAAAAAGGATATGGGTGCACGCAAGATTATTAATAAGCTATCGATATTCTAAATGAAGAATTATAAATTTAAAAGGATTATGAATTTTATTATGGATATTCGAATTATCATATTGCGAAACTTAAAAAGATTCTTAAATAAGATGAGTAAAAAATATTAAATATTTTTTAAAGTTAAAAATATAAAAAAATATAATATATAAATAAAAATCAAAAATAATAATAATAATAAAAATATAATTTATATAAATAAAGAAAAGATTATGAATAATAATATGAAAAATCTTTATAACAATTTAACGAAAGATTTAATTCTGAATAACAAGAAATATACGGGAAACTATTTGCTTGTTACTATTTAGGTCGAATTTATTAAAAACATAAAAACGACTTATAATAAAGTGATCAAAAATATAATATTTTCCGTAAAATATATCAAGAGAACTATTTTAGATTTCGATGTACTCGAACCCTTCAATATGAGATTTTAAAATTAAAATTTATAAAAAAATAAATAAAATTATAAATATTATCTGAAAATTCTGAAAATAAAAATTCTTAAATCAACCCTATATTAAAAAATAAAAGCAATATTTCAAAAAACAGCCTTGGAGTAATATCAGCATAAAAAAAGCCTAAATAGGAAATGATCAAACAAAAATCATATATTTAAAAAGACATAAAAGAAGAAGAAGTATAAATATAAGAAAAATTAGAAGAAAATCAAAAAAATACCTATATTCGATTTAGTACATATAAATAATTACGAAACTCTAGTTTGAACGAAAATATTGTTTCCTAACACATCGAAAAATTAAAAAAATGTTATAATTTTATAATCTAGATTAACTTTTTTTACTTGATTTGCTTTATAAAGGAACCGTATTTACTACTATGGAAGGTGTTATATTGCCTGAATAATAAGAAACTACAAAAAGTTAAAATAATGCAAAAATATAAAAATTAAATTTATTTAAAAACCATATGGAATTGACTGAAAATAACAAATTAATATAATCAGGGACTCCTATAATAATTAAAAAAATAAACGTTTTTGATTAAAAAGGAATATATTAAATTCTATCTTTTGTAGAAGAACAAAAATAAAATGTTTAGGATTTCACTTAAAATAATAAATTCGAAGTTTTGTAAATTATAGGCTTTTCTTATTAAATTTTATAATAAAATAACCTCGAATTATTTTTAATTTACCCACATAAGTAGTTTAATTTATATGGAGGAATTCGAAGTGGAAAAATATTCAATATTAAAGATAAACTTAATATAAGTTTAAATTTATGTTAGCTTATCGAAAATTTTCAACAAAAAAATATTTTTGATATTAATTTAAAACCTTCCAATATTTTATTTGATGAAAAACTCAAAATATACTACGCAGGGTTTGATTTTAAAGATATCGGAAATCAAAATGAAGAAACTACAAGAGACGAAGAAAATATAGTGGAAAATTCACTTTAAATAAGCCATTTTTAATCTCCTGAATATGGTGCGAATATAGAAAGCATTATTTATATATTAGGAATGATTTTTTGTTACTTATTTTATTAAATAGATACTTCTTTAAATGTACCTTCTTAAACTAAAACAGTATTTTTTTTTTATTTGTATTTTATTTATTTTTTTAAAAGTTTTAAATTGATTATGAAATAGGATCTAATTATTATTTAGATTAAATAAGAGAACTAATTGATTTAATGGTAAAGTATAAACCTTAATAAAGAATTAGTTTATAATAAACTATAGTATATTTGTAAAGAATAATTGCCTAATTTGATGTACAAATTAACTATGGATTGTAATAAAACTTTATTTCTTATCATAGAATGATTTCCGAATACTATAAATTTTCTAATAATTTTGTTATGTGAAATATTTTGCTATATTATTAATTTCAAACAAAAATTTATATACATAAATTTATTTTAAATTACATTTATTTATTAATTCATTAAAAAATAAATAAAAATGGAATGAGTTTTTTTATTTAACAAAAAAAAGAAACAAAAAATATTTAATAGAATCATTTTTTTCATTAAATAAAATTAAAATTAATCTTTTTTAATAAAAACAAATTATATATATTTTATAAACTTGTATTATAAAAAAAAATAAAAAATAAAAATGAAAAAATTAGGATGTTTTAGAATGTCAGTATAAGACATTGAATTAAAAGCTGATGATTTGTTTAATATAGTAATATTAGGAGAAGCCAGTGTAGGAAAAACAACAATTACAATCCGTGTTAAAGAAGGTAAATTTATCAATTCATATGATCCAACATTATATGATGTTCACAAATTTAAATTGATTGTTGATAAAGTTGAAGAATAAATAGGTTTTTTTATTTAAAAGAAATAAAATTAAAATATAAAAAATAAAAGAAATTTAAGATACTGCGGGTTAAGAAATATTTTAAAATTCAGTAATTGATGAGTTCATAAGAAAAGCGAATGGTTTTGTATTTATGTATGAGATTTGTAATAGAGATTCACTTATAAATTTGGAGGAAAAATATATATCAAAAGTAAGAGCAATTAAATAAAATAAATTCCATGCAGTTCTTGTAGGAAATAAAAATGATTAAAATGATTTTAGAGAAGTAGAATTTTAACAAGGAAAAAATATTGCAGATAAATATAATATACCTTTTTATGAAGTTTCCTTAATGAATTAATCAGATATTTCTGAAATTATTTTCTAAGATTTAGTAAGGAAAATGAAACAACCTAGAAGATAGACTACTTATACATAATAAAACGAAATTTCTAAGAAGCATTGGTGTTAAAATCTTTGCAAAATTTATTGATTATTTTTCGAAAGTAATATTATTTTTTATGTTTATTTAGTTATATTAATTTTTTAATATTTTTTTTTTTTTTAATAAATAATAGTATTTTTTATATACTATTTTTATAAAAGCTAAATTAATAATATTTAGATTCAATATATATATATTAAATAATATCAGAAAATCTATTTTATTTTTAAAAAATTAAATGAAAGTTTTTCATTCAAAATAATCATTGTATTTTTGAACATTAATATTTTCAATTTTATTAATATTACTTTAATTATTATCATCTATTAAATTAACAGACATCATTATTTAATTATTTAACGAATATATAGAATTATCATTAATATCAAGTTTATTTAAATTATTTAAATCGTATTTTTATTTTTTCACAATAGAATTTAAAAAGAACATATCTTATTTCTATTAAAAAATATTTTTTTAATTATTATTTTTATTGGTTTTATAATTGTTTTTTAATCTATTTTATAAAAAACTAATTTTGTTTTCAGGTTTTCTTAAAAATTTATTAACAGTTTTTATAATATTTTAAAAATTATTATGTGGATAATAATATTCAAATGATTTTTATTTATCGAAATTATTATATAATTGAGAATTCGATTAATAATTATTTTTATTAGATTCAATTAACTATAATTGGTTTTACTAAAACATAGATTTTAAATTTTAAAAAAATTAATTTTATTATTAATAAACTTTTTTAAGGTATTTATTCATTTATGATTACTTTATAAACTTATTTTAATAATTAACATCTTTTTCATTAAAATTAAATTTTGAAGCAATTTGTTTACTTTTAGGAGAAATATGTATTTATTATTCATTAATATATTATGAATCTTCTATCTATTTAGCTTTAATATTAGTAATTTATGCTTAATTTGTATTATTTAAGAATGTAGATGCTCCAATTATTGGGTTTTCTATAATATTACTAATACTATGCGATAAGACCCTACTTTTTTATTAATTTACATGATTTAAAAACTGTTATTTATTATTATTATAACTTAATATTTCTGAATTATTAACATTTCCATAATCATTACTTTAATTATTTAGAAATTTTAATTACTATTCTTATTCTTTTTCTAATTAATTATATTAAAGTGGATTTTTATACGTATTTTATTCTTAATCTTATTCATTTTCATATTCTGAATTGAATTTATTTAAATGCTCTAATGTATAAGTTAAGTATTTAGTTTTATAGTTTTCCAATAACTCTTAATTATTATCAATAAACATATCACAATTTTCTAAATTTTATAAAAACTTTTAAAAAAATTATCTATATTAGAATCTTTATCGAACAAAATTTTCCTTTCTGTATTCATTTTTTGTTTAGATATTATTTTATTATTTAAAAATTTTATATTTGTTTGGGATATAATTCAAATAATTACAGTTTTAATATACATGACAATAACTTTGACAGCTAAAGCATTTTAATTCTAAAATTTTTATTTCTTTATCTAGAATTATTTTATCTTTTATATATAAAAATTTCTCATAATCTTCTGGATAATCTTAAAGTAGCTTTAAAAAGTCATTTCTTTTGATTTTTAAACAATGTAAAGAATCTTAAGCTCTTACATTAAAATTTCTTTCTTTTCCATCAAAAAATTATTATTGACCAAATATATTATCTTTACCGATAACCTTTATTTTTTTAAATCAAAAAAAAAAAAAAAAAAAATTACTTTCAATATTTTTTTTTCATTTTTTAAATAAATTTCTACATAACCTTTTTCAATAAAATAAATAGATTAATCATCTATTTAACCATTTTCATATATTATTTCTTTAGGATTTGTTTACTTTTCTTAAATTATAGAATTTATTTATTCCGTAAAGTCTTTACTAAAATATTTTTCAAAATATTTAATTAGTGTTTTATTTTATTCATATTAAAAATTATTATATAAATTTTCATTTAATTAATTAAGAATTTCTTTGCTTTAAATAATCATTTCTTAATTACTTTCTGTCCAAACATATCTATATTATTATATAATTTTATTTCTAATATATATATATATATATATAAATATATTACTCTAAATATTCTCTAATTTCATTTTTAAGGCTATTGCTAATATTTTTTTTTGACATATATTAATTTATATTATCAAACTTTAATTTCATTTATTTTTCATCTTAATTAAATTCTTAAAGAATCGAACCAACTTAATTCAAAATAAACCCATATGTTCCACAACAAAAAAGCATTATAAATACACAACATGTAGCTTCTTAAATATTACTAGGTTATATATCACCAAATCCTATATAATTTGTAAAGAAAATATTGATTTTTTTTTTGATTTACCTACAGTAGTTAATGTTGTAGTTGAAAAATAAAAAGAATAAATATATTTGACATGCCATTCTTAGTCCTGTATTTATAATTTGCTAAGCCAATTCATATTAGGATTTAAAAAACTTACATATAACCATAAACAGCATATTAAATGAAGAAAAAAAATTATAAAAGAAAATAGTTTCATCAAAGAAATAATATTTTAAGTTTTTTATTTTAAAAGAAAAATTTATTCAAATTTATTTATTATTTAATTAAAATCTTATAGTTTAATCAATAGAATAAAAATTAATATTAACTAAAACCAATTATTTATATTTTTAAGTTATGCATTTTAACTTTCCATAGATAAAAATACTACTGATAATAAGAATAAAAGATCTTTAAATAAATATTGTGATTTATAGTATTATAAAATTTAATATCTTTCTTTACAAACTATACCTTTTTAATAAAACCCGGTATTTAAATTCATTAAAGAATTAAGTATAACAAAAAAAATACTTATATATATTTAAATATTATAAGAAGATATGAATTTGGTTGTTTATAAGCTTACTTTTATAGTAAAAATAAAGAATAATTAAATTAAAGAAAGAAGATTTAAGAAATTAATTATAGTTACCAATTTATTTTAAGGTTCAAGTATTTTAATTTTCTTATCAATTTTTTTCAAAAACTTATAGAATTTCTTATAAAAACGCATGATAACATAATTTTAAAAATGATACTTTTTTTTTCTAATATTATTTGTAAGGTTAAAATTGTAAGTTTATTCAAATAATTTATCTCCAATTATATAAACCTACATAGCTGTTAAATTTTTGTACATGTGACTATTTATTGATTATATCATTTTTCTTGCAATTTATTTTAACTGAAAATTTATTGCAACTTATCCTATTCTTCTTTATCTTATAGATTATAGTGTAATATTATCTATAATTTTTTATTTTATTTTTGATTAATTTGAGATTTACTTGAATCATCATCATTTTAATTTTAAATTTATTATTAATTTGTTTCTTTTTTTAAATTTAATGACTACATTTTTTTAAAATTTTAAATTATTTATTTATTATAAAAAATTAATTAATCAATAATATAAAAACTATTATAAAATAAAAATATGTTTAAAATTATAAATAATATATTAAAAATATATTAATATAATATAAAAAGAAGATAGAAAGTATTATAGAACTATATCACTTTTATTTTAGACTTACTTAAATTTGTTTATAATTATTATATGATATATATATTTTATGTAAATAAATTATTTATTTATTTAATAATATTTAATAAATATAATATAAAATTGTAAATTATTAAATCATGTGAATATTTTATTATTAAGATAAATATATTATAAAATTTAAAGTTATTTATCTTTTTAAATCAATTTTTATAAGTTATCATAGTTTATAAGAAAACTATAATTATTTAAAATTTATTCATATTTTTAGATTAATAAATATGTTAATTTAAATAACCTATGAGTAAAAGCATTATAAATAGGACAAACTGATTCAAGATCATCCTAATGTTAACTAATAAGTTTTTTAACCTTTAAATAATTGTTTTTATTTATAGCATCAAGAATTAAAGTATAATTATAGTTTTTTTAATTTTTAAATAAAATATTTTCGTCTAAAATATATTTCTTAATTAATTAACTCCATTATAATTCTAAATTAACACAAAGATGCTCTTAAGAAGTTAAATTTAAATAAATATTAAATACAATTAATAAAAAATAAGGAGGATCTTAACATAAGTCAATTTGTGTATTTTTTAAAGAATTATAAGTATGAACAATATTCATGATTGAAAAATCTTCATTTTTATGAAAGTTTTCGATAGATTCTTGATATTTTTAATAAATAGAGAATTTTTATTAAATTAATTAATTATTTTAAGAAATATTTATTAAATATTAATTGATTATTTTTTAAAATGATTTACATGACAAACGCAAATGTAATATTTCATTTACATTTAAAAAGTTAAATATATTCTAAGTTAATATATTTTAAGATATTTTATAAAATAAATAGAATTTTTAATAGTCTTAAAATTAATAAAAATTGCTTGGAACTCCATTTTCATTAATAGAAATATCAATAATTTGACCTTTTTATTAAATTTATTATTTTTAAGTATAATAATGATTTGAATAACAATTTCTTTTATTTAATTTTTTCTCCTATTCATAATTAAGTTAAACTATATTATTATTATTTTATTGTTCATTGTTTTTATTTATTATTTATATTTTGGAAATGTTTGTTTTCAAAATATTTTTTTTTAGATTCATAATTCCTCTTATACTTTTTATGTGTATTTTTATTAAGCATTTTGTATTTATTTTACAAATATTTGAGGTTTTTGTATTTACAGAATATTAGATAAATTTTTCTTTATAAAAATTATGAATACTTTTAATAATAAGCTAACTAAATAGGAGTATGAAACATATATTTATGTTTATCTAAAAATATTTAAAATTATTATTATTCATTGAATTTTCTTATAGAATTTATAATTAAATATTTTTTTCAGTTTATTATTTATTAGATTAAAAATCTTTAACACTATAATTATTTATGTTATTCTGAATATTCTAATCAACAGAATTGTAAACGTTAGAAATTTATTGTTAGTTATTTTCTAAAGATGATATTTATAAGTTAATTTATTTAGGTGATTATATTTAAAATTATTTTTAGTTTTATTTTAATATTTTTTTGAATCTGTTTTATTAGTAAAAGTTATAATTTGTTTATATTTGTTCTGTTTCTTCAGAATTTTTAATTTCTAAGTTTTATACATTAAATTAATTTATTACTATATTTTCTGATATTTAATAAATATTTTTTTTAATTTAATAATTCTTTAATTTATACTTATCCATTTTAATTTGCCCTATTATCTATATTTAGATTTTACAAAGTTATAGATACTTTAGAATTTTAATTTATTTTTTATTTATCATCTGTAAAGTTTTTGTTAATATCTTTATAATCGTATTTATCTTATGGTTTTTCTTATATTTATTAATCATTATTTTGTAAAAAAAATTATTCTTAATTTGCTGTTAAATTATTATTTAATACTTAGTTTTTTAATTTTATATGCTTTGATTTAAATTAAGATGTACAATGTCCAATCGTGCTGTATTTTTACATATATAAATAATTTATTAAAAATATATTTAATAGAAATATGAAAGTAATTTAATTTAAAATAATTTATATATTATTAAATTATAATAAAAAAATAATGTAATGGTCAATAATTAATATAAATAATAAAAAATTAAAGTATTTAGTTTTATATAATTCATTAAATATATATATATATATATATATATATTTATATTTATTATTTTTATTAATTATTTTTAATTTTAAATATATATAAGAATTAGTTTTTTTTCAATTTGCATAATATTATTAAATTATTAAATAATATATATTTTTTAATTTTTTGTTTTATATTAACTAATATATCTTAATAAATTAATTTATATTATATGAATAATTAATTATAAAAAGAAACTTAGCAGTATCAAATTTTTTTAAATAACAGATTAAAATAGGATTTATTAAAAGCATATAAATTATTTGATTGTTTAAAATAAAAGATTAATGATTAGTATATAAAATATTTTTATTTCATATATAATATATAATATTTTGAAAAATAGTGAAGAAGTGGAATAATTTATTTAAAAAGCTCGAAATATTGAAAAAAATTAAATTAAAATGCAACTTGATATTGGAGAATAATGTTTTGTCAATGCAGAAATGTATAAATACATTTTTTATTAATTTAAAGATTTTATTATTATTTTTTTAAAAAAAGAGAAAATAAAAATAAAGTTATTTTAGATATAGGATTATCCATTTTTGTAGAATTAAATTATAATGAGGCATAAAATGTAATAAAAGAGAGAAAAATAGAAATTCAAAGATTAATTAAAAAAGTAGAATATGATATTATTGACATAAATACAAATATAAAAATGGTAATTTTTGTTTTATTAAATTAAATATTTTTTTTATTTAATAAATTAGTTTGAAAGCACTTTAAATTAATTGACTTTAAATTAGTTTTGATTAACTAATAAATAAAATATAAAAAAAAATTAATAATAATAAATATAATTTAATTAATTTAAAATAAAAATACATTGAAATTAAATACTTAGTTATGTATATAAAAAAGATATATATATTTTTTTTTAATAAAATATATATAAATAAAAGATATTTATAATTTATTATTTGTATATATCAAAAATTTTAAATTTTTAAGCAAAATAAAAATGATAAAAAAAATTATATTTATCTTTAATTTAATAATAATTTTAAATTGCTAAATTTCTCAAGAATACATTAAATAAAGTGAAATATATGTAAGAACCTCAATAGAAAAAGATGAATTAAATTTAGAATATTTATACAAAGAAGCATATATTTATTAAAAGTTAGCTGACTCAAACACATTGAAAAACTAAAATGCATGTCAATTATTAAAATCTTAAAATGTTTAATAATAATTAAAAACTTCAAAAAACATTTATTATTTCTTACAATTAGTAAGTATGCTTCCTAAATGTATTATCGAATATTCAAAAGTACTTAAAAAAATATAATTAATTTCTATTATTTTTAAAAGCAAGAATTAAAAGAAATATATTTAGAAGAACTAAAGAAATTAAAATAACCATAAAACGCATATTATATTATACTTTTAGCCACACATTTTGAAGATAAAATAATATTAGATTAAACCTGTAATTAATTAACAAAATACTTATAAAAAGATGGTACATCAATCCAGAACATATCTATACCAGTAAAAAATAAAATAAAAAAAATATAAAATAAAATAATATAAATAAGGAACAAACTAGTTATGAATCAACCTCATATTTACTTGACTGTTTTTTACTTTGTAAATAAAAAATCGAAAATTACGATATTCATTTAGAAAGTATATTATTAAATTCCATTTCTATATTCGAATAACAAGTAGCCGTTTTAGAAAAACAAGATACAGTTCTTGTAACAAGCAAAATATTCCGCTTTTTCTATTCATAACAAGCCCTATATCCACAAATGAAAAGCCTGAAAACTTTTAACGAATAATATTTCCCGAAAATGCTTGTTTTTCTGAAAAACTCGGCAAATTCATCCATTCTACGAACTGAAGAAAAATACGAGCTACTTAAGATTTACTTAGAATTCCCTCTTTTGAAAATCCTCATTATTAAAAATACCCCCATCACATATTCCACTAAAAAACCCTACCAAATACAACTACGCTACGAAAATATTCTCGGCGAAAAAATTGAAGAAATATCTCCTTAAATAAATCTAACTGGAAATATTTTCAAAAGAAATAAAAATATTGTTTAAAATGAAATTTAAATTTCCAAAAGCGAAAACCTTCAATGGCATTTAGAAATGATAATTTAACCATCTCATATAACTGATTTAGGTTACTATAAGATCTAAATAAATGAAAAAGGTTAAACTATTTTATAAGAAAGGGTTTTATTTGTAACAACTTTAAAAATGAGTAAAATAGAATTCGAAGTAACATAAGGAAAAGGAAAAATACCTAAAAAATATACACATAAAGTACTTTATGACAAAAAAATTTCCTAAAGCATCAAATCTAACTAAAACTCTTTCATATATTTCCAATTTGAACTTGATTTTCCCATAAAAAGACTCCAATTTAGACCTTCTTAAACTTCTATAAGATTAAAACATTCAAAATTCGAAGGAGTAACTACATTAGTAAACGCACAATATGATGATATATAAAAAACTTATTTAGCGATAGTAGATATGGGGGATCCTCGAACTATTTTGCCATTTAATGGAGAATATGAATGTGAAATTATTATTGCTGATTAAAAATTAGAGTATAAAATTTAGTGGAATTTTGCAAAATTTGATGTGTCTTTTATTAATCCTAAAAATGACTAAAAAGCCCCTAATGATGCCGATTATTAGGTTTTGAAAAATATAGATTTTTAACCTTCTCCTAATATTTAATAACCTCCTTTGTTCTTTATTTCATTTTTTGTTTTGGCATTAATATTAGCTTTTGGCTTTTTTTTAATATTGATTTCTTAAATTAATTTGAACTTTAAAAAATTACTTTTAGCCAACAAAAATGATAAAATATGGATTTTGAGCTTTTTTGTGATATTTATTTTAAGTATTTTGCTTTTAATTGTTTTTTGGGTAAGTATTAATCTGATAGAACTTTTAGCATATACAGGTTTGGGAATTATTCCTTTGTTTATTATTGGAAATTAAGCTTTGAATAGACTATAGGATATTAAATGAAAAAAAAAAAACATTATTAATTTTTTTATATATTTAATTTGCTTCTTTTTTATTTTTATTTTTTTTATAATATTATTTTTAATGTAATTGATATTTAATCAAATAATTTTGTTTTTTTTTTAAAAAAAAGAAAAAAAGAAATAAAGAAAAAAGAAAAAAAGAAAAAAAAAAAATATAGTAGAATTTTATAACTTTATATAAATAAAAAATCATAATAGAAATCATGCTTTTTTTTATACAAAGTTTGTAAAATAATTTGCTTTATATAGATATTTTAGTATGATTAAATATATTAAAAAAAAAATCAATTTTCCTTTTCCTCTTCATTCACATTTTCAATAATTTAATTATTTTAAAATTATCTTATACTTTAAATACTTTCTGATACATCTTTAAATTAATACATATTTTATTCTACTTAATTTGTATCATTTCTAAAACAAAAAAGATTTTTAGAAAATAAAAAAATATAAAGAAAAATAGAAATAAATTTAAAAATAGAAATAGATAAAAAAAATATACTTAACAATATTTTTTAAATATTATTTTTCATTTTCTCTTTCTTATTTAGCAATTTATTATTAAAAATTCATATGTACATCATCTAGTTCTTCCCCTTTTAAATCTTCTATAATTACTTCTTAAATAGGCTCTTAAATATCCATTTTATAACTTAGTTTATTATTTTCCTCTTCCAATTCATCAATTTTAATTTATTTCTAATTATTATTATGCAAAACTGACGTTTATTATAATAATTCAGGTTCAGATTCTTTTTCGGGTTCATCTTCTTTAATAGATTCTTCATCTTTCTATTGATAACTTGTGTAACTAGCCTAAGAAATAGATAGTCCTTTTTTTTGAATTTATTTTGATTTCGTAGGTGTATTACAATCTACAAATTCACACTTATCGACCATATAAACATCATCGATTTTATATTATTATAAATGCATTTTACCCTAATTTAATATTTAATTATCTTCTTCGTTTTTTTGTTCTATTATTGACTCTGATAATTAATCTATACTAACTTGTTTAACACGCGTGGATTATTATTTATATATAATTTATTCATTTTTAAAATTATTGAATTCATCTGTATCTAATTGTAAATTTAATTATTTGAATTTATGTTTTTACTTTATTTTAATAAAAAATAAATTTTTTTAGTTATAATTTTATAACTTCTTCTAAGTTATTATTTATTTTATCTTCATCTTGTTCTTCGAATACAGGATTTATTAAATTTTCAGATGAACAAATTTTTTAAGATTTTTGTCTTTTTAATTAACCGAGTATTTGCAATTCCATATTTGGGTATGTTGAATCTTTAAATTGTTCGCTAATATATTATTTTAAATAAAAATTTTATTTATAAATATTATATATAATAAATAAAACCATTTAATATTCTATTCTTCTTTTGACATTTTTATTAATTAAATATTTTTTTTAATTTTATAATAATATATTTTTGATTATTAAAAACAAAAATAAATAAATATATATATAATTTTATTTAAAATTAATTTATTTAACTAAATTATAAAAGATAAATATATAAAATAAAAAAATATATAAATAAATTTATTAATATATATAAATAAATTTATATATTTAAATTTAAATAAATATTATATTAAATATGTGAATATATATAAATATATTTATTTATTTATTTATTATTTATTTATACATATATATATTTTAAGGAAAAAAAAAAAACATTCTTTTGATAAAATAAAATTAAATAATTATAATATAAATATATATAAAAGAAAAACAAATGTTCACTAAATTATTTTTGAACCAATCTCATATAACTTAATTATAAAAATAATATTTCTCCTAATTAGCAAAAAAAGCAAAAATGGAGCTAACTTTAAGAACTCCATATAGAGAAGTATTAGTTAATTTTGATGGTTTTTCAAGAATTTAAGCCAAAACAAATGAAGCCGCTTTATGTGTTTAAAATAAAACTCCAGCATCTTTATATGTTTTACCACCTGGTCCTTTAAAAATAAAACTTACATAAGATGTCAAAGATGTATCAGGAGATTATCTTCATAGCGGTGGTTGGTTAATTATACATGCGTAATAATATATTTTTTATTTTTAAAAAAAAATTAATTTAAAAATAAATAATAATAGAGATAACACTTGTGAAATTAATGTTATGGATTTATTTGAAAGAAAGGAAGTTAAGGCTGATTAATTTGATAAAGCAAATATTGTTGATGCAGATACTAACGCAGGTAAATATGCATAAAAATCAAGAAAAAATACTAACAGAATATTTTTAAAAGCTGCAACTAGTTGAGAAAAAATAGATTATTTTTTTATTATTAATTTTTTTATACAAAAAATAAATAAATACAAAATAAGATTTATTAATATAAATAAATTAAATATTAATTATTTTTATGCATTTTTTAATTTTTTTTATAAAAAGAAAATAAATAATATAGAATACATAATTATAAATATATGCATTAAATATTATATTTAAAAAAATTCAAATTAACTATATAATTATATATTTAAATATATATATATAAATATATTTAAAATTATTTATATACATATATTTATTATAAAACATAATAAACACGCGTGTTAATTAACATCAGAAAAATTAATTTTTTTTTTTAAATTAATTATTAATTAATCAATATTTTTTAAAAAAAATTTAAAAAAAAGTATTTAAACAAAAAGATATTATATTTAAAAAAAATGTTTAAAAATATAATATTATTAATATCAATATTAATAATCATTCAAACCCACACATTTAGTGAAAATACAAAAGTGAAATAATTATCAAAAGAAAATTTTGTCCAAGAAACCGGTATTGGTTCTGGAATAATAACAAAACCATCAATTGGTATGTTTTACGCTCCTTGGTGTGGACATTGTAAACGATTGATTCCAACATTCGAAGAATTATCAAATGCCTAAGAAAAAGCTACAGTTTTTGCTGTTGATTGGTAATATATATACATATATATATATATATATATATATATATATATATATATATATTTATATTTATATTTATATATTTATATTATAGTACAGTTGAAAGAGGAATATGTGATTAATTTGAAGTTAAAGGATATCCAACAATATATTATTTTTCAACCGGATATTAAGCACATAAGTATAAAGGATAAAGAGTTTTAGATAATTTTATTGAATTTATCAATTCATAGCATTTGAGTGCTGAAACTACTGATATTAATTTTGATATAAATAAAACGGAATCTTCATTTATTAATAAACTAGGAGAATCAGTAAATATTTTTATTTTTTTATAAATATTAAATAAAATAAAAAAATTAGACAACTGTTATTCTTATAGTTGTTGCCGTTTTAGTATTTCTTATTATTTTAGTTACTTTTCTTTGTTTATGTGGATCATCTTGTAATGATAAAAATACATAAAATAAATTCGATTAAACTCCTGATGTTGGAAATGATGATGTCACTGATGATTAAAACTAATATTCATCTTCAACTAGATCTAAATCAAAAAGAGAATGATGATTTTTTTTATTTTTTGTTTATTTATGCAAAATACGAAAATTATATATATATATATTTCATTATATTATTTATAAATTAATTTTTTATCTTTTTCTATAAAAAAAATAAATATAAAAGTATCATACAACATGATTATATATAAATTAATTAAAAAATCATATTATTTTTATTGATTTGAAACATAATTGTTATTATTTTATAAAAAAATAAAAAGTAATATTTTTTTAAATTTTTTACAAATATAATATTTTTTGTATTGATTTTAAATCGTATATAAATAAAATATATTTTATTAATATAAAAAATATTATAACTAGATTATTAATTATATAATATACCATATAAACATATAATTAATATTATTTAAAAAGTAAAAAATTTAACATTAATTATTAAGTAGATAATGAACTAAATTATTTTTATTTTATTGTATGTCGAATTATATAATAAATAATAAAAATATGGGAAAACATTGTATAATTTTAATTATTAAAAGAATAATATCTCCAATTATAACAAAAGGAATAAAAATTAAAAATAATATCGTGAAATTTGAAATATAATTTTACATATTATTAAATAATATCTATTTTTTCAATCTATTAATAATTTATGTGGAGAAAAATTTAATTATATATAACTAAATTAAAAATAAAAAGAAAAGTAAATAAAATATATATATATAAATAAAAAAATATTAAAATAAATATTTATTTTTATTCATTAAATAACATGAATTTTATATATATATATATATATATATATAATTTTTTATATATATTTATTTTATCAATATAATTTTTATATGGGTAATTCTTACTGCATTATAATTATATAAAAGCAAAAATCATCATATATCTAACGTTTAAAAACATATAATAATAATAAAATAAAAATCAATTAAAATTTATATATATATATATATATATTTTAAAAATAAAAAAAATATGGACGACTTCGAATTAATTAAGGGAGATAGTGAAAAACTCTAAGATGCCTTAAACGAGCTTAATTAATAACAAAAAACATTAGAAAAAATGAATAAATCAATATAAACTTTAAATTAAGCTTTAGAAGAATAAATACTAATCCGAAGAATAATGGAAAAGAAACAAGTAGACTGTCAAGAAACTATTGAAAGTTTAAAAATTCAACTCACATCCTTCGAAATGTTAAAGAAGAAATTTTTAAAATAAAAAAGTCTTTTAGAAGCTTCCAAAATATAAAATGAAGAACTCGAAAGTAACCTTTTTAAAAATAGCAAACTGAATTAAACTCTATTTGAAGAAAAAAGAAAAGTAGAAGTAGAAAATACTCTCCAAAAAGAATACATTAAACACTTAGAATCTCAATTCTAAACATAAAAAAATCAATTAGAATCTAAGAAACTACTAGAAATATCTCTTAGAAATGCCGAGTAGAGAATTTTTTCTATAAAACAAGAAAACTTCATATAAGTCCAAGATTTAATAACCGAAAATAAAAAAATTCATTAAAAATTAATATAAATAGAAAAAGAATTACTCTAAAAAACAACTTTTCTTTAAAAAATAAATTAAATCGAAAAAATAAATATTTCAATATAAACCTCAAAACCAAATATTTAAGCTTCGCGTAGTTAAAATAATTAAACTCCTTAAATAAACCATACTTTTATATAAACAATATAGGTTGCTACTAATAATGCCATTATTTAAACTAATAAACCTTTAATTTCTCATATAGAAATTCAAACATAAAAGTCTCAAATTTCTCATGCTGATATTTAAACTTAAAATCCCGCTTTTTCTCATATTGAAATTTAAACTAATTCTTTAAAAAATAAATCCATTTCTACTCAAGCTTCTGAATGTGAGATTTTCGAACAAAAATCTTAGTGTCTTCCTTAAGATAATGTAATTATTAATAATAATTCTATTAAAAATCCTTTAAATTTAATTTTTGAGAATTCTACTCCTTCTTGTTAAGTTTGTTAAAAGAATTAAGAAGAATAACTACTATAATTAAGTGATTTATAAGAAATCGTTATCATAAATGGAATTTAAAATGATAAGCCATTGAATTTGATTGGATAAAAAATAAATAACTTCTTAGAAGTATAAAAAGAAGAAACAAATAATAACTTTTAAAATGAAAAGCTTTTTAAATTAACTGATCTTAAATAAATTGTTATTGTAAACGATAATAAAAACTAAGTAAATATAATTTCTTTAAATAGTGAAAGAAATTTAAAGAAAAAACAAAAGAAATAAATGAAAGAACAATTGAAAATTCAAAAAGATTAAGAAACATTAATTACATATATGAAAAATGTTAAATAATAAATAAGATTTAATTACTTTAAAAAAATGCTCTTGAAAAAAAATAGCTTGAAAATGATTTTAAGTAATAATCATGGTGCTAAAATGCTTATGTGCTATTGATAAAAAAAAATATTAAAAAAAACTTACTTTTATATATATAATAATAATAATATTGATGATTCTAATAAATAATAATAAAAAAATATATATATTATATATTATATATACTTTATAAGAAAAAAAATATTAGATATATATATAAATATATATTTTTATAAAATAAATAAATTAATTTAATAAAGAAAAATAATTTTTTTATTAAAAAAAAATTATTTATATATATATATATATATATATATTTATTTTGTGTTTTTTTAAAAAATAATTATTTGTTTATGTATATAATATTAAAAAATTTGTATTTCCCTTTTAATAAGTTAAATGTCTTTCTCATTTTTTTTTAAAAAAATAATTATCTTTTTAATTAATTCAAAAATTAATATCTTAATTATCTTTATACTCATTTAAATTATTCATATGTTTATTATCATTATCTGTACTTTCAAAAATAAATAAATAAAAGCTTTTCATAATTTTTCTAACTTAAATATCTAAATACTCTTCTTAATCTCCACATTTATTACAATTTTTACACTAATAACATACAATTTAACTAAAACTTTTATTTTAAGTATATTAAATCATATCAAATAATAAACAATATATTTCTTTCGTTTTATTTTCAATCTAAAAATATATTTTAAATTTTATATTAAAAGAAAGATATTTAAATTTATAAATTACATAATTTAAATTAATTGATTCTAATATAGGAAGAACGGTTTCGTAAATAATAGCCCTATAATTTCTTACATGTCTTTACATTTCTGTTATTTATATATTCTCGATAATAAATTCAATTGTATCTTCATCTTGATCTTCTAATTGCATTTATTATTATTAAAATTTTTAATAATTTTATTATTGATTATTAATAATTTAAATTAAATCTTTATGAATTTTTATAAAATAACTTAGTTTTTCTATTAATTATCTTAAAAAAGAAATAAATAAATATTAAAAAAAAAAATTACTCCGTTAAATCTAGTAAAAATTTTAAATTATTAGTATTTTTAAATTTAGTAAATTGTATTAACAAACACATAGAATAAGATAAGGTTTCTTATTAAAGAATACCAGGTAATTATTATAATTAGGAAAAAAAACCTAAAAAAAAATAGAAATAAAAACAATAAATATTTATAAATTAAATAAAAATAAATAAATATATATATATATAAATATAAATAAATATATATATATATATATATACACATTTTTTTTTATAATATACAAATACCTAATTTCCATATACAATATCTTAGGAAAATTTATTTATTAAATTTTATTGCAAAAGAATTTGATTTTTTTATTATATTTTATAAATTATCTAATTATTTCATATTTAATTATTCATGAAAATTATCTAAAACATCTTTAATTACTTTTAATATTAAAATATGAGCTTCTGATTATGAATAAATAACCTCGAAACTAATTTTTTAATTTTTTAATTTTAAAAAACTTTCTCTTCTTTTTCCTTTTAAATCTTAAACAATTTATTAACTCTTTTCATCAAAATTAATTTCTTATAATTTCACTGGCGTTGTTATTCTAATTATCCTATCGAAAAAATCCAAAATAATATCCCAATCACTATCAATAAACTTTATTCCTAAACTCATAATCGTATTTTTAGACGCATTTACACTCAATTAAATAATTTAATCATTTGTATTATTTATGCAATTTTCATAAGTCTTTATAAATTCACCCAATAAAGATCCTAGTTTATCATAATAATCAAAAAGTAACTTTGTTATATCTGTATAAGCTTTATTGATAGAATTTTTTAACCAAATTAATTCTTTAGACTATTTTTTAAAAATCATCTATTAAAAAGTAAACTACATCTCATCAAACAAAGGCCTTAAAACTCCCTAAAAAATCATTCGCCAAAATTCTATTGTAAAAACATGTCCATATAAAGAAAGTATATTAAATAAACTATCCATTCCTTTAGCTTATATATTATGCCTTTAATCTCCACATAAAATAGTTAATACTCCTAATAATGGAAACCAATAGGCTATATATATATATTATTTAAATATATATAATATTTTTTATATTTTATTACTATCTTTTGTTTTTGTACTTTCATTTTCAAATATATATTTTATATATTATTCAACATATTAAATTGAGGTAAAAGCAAATTTTTCTTCCTTATTTTTACTTAAAGATGTTAAACATTAGACTATATCAGCATACAAATCATATATAATATTTAAATCCTAATCAATTATTAATTTTAAAATCTTTTTATTAAAAAATTAAAAAAAAAAAAAAAAAACTTAAAAAAAATACTTAAAAAGCATTTTTCGATAAATCTGTATTATTATCTTATATTGCATAATTTATAATATTAAAAATAATTTTCCAGCCAGATTTAATTTTGCGATAAAAATTTGTACAAAAAGCTTTTATACAATCCAAAATGAAAATTTTAATAAATATATTTTATTTTAAAAAAATTATTTCAAAAACCTTTAAAAAATCTTTCTAAAAAGTTAAATTGAATCTTTCTTTTTTACCAAAAAGTTTCTATGAAAGTTGTTTCAAATTATCTACTGCGTTCATTGCTATAGTAATATTTTAACTGCACCCGATTTCCGCAAAATGGCATCTAATGGTTATCCATATTCTATTCCAGATAATAACTATTCTTCCCATATTAAGCTCTGCAATTTCTACTACTTTTTATAACGAAAAAATAATCGGGACTTGCGAATTTTGCATTAATTCTTCATAAGATACCCTACAAAGTGCAATAACGAAATCCTAAATAGATTCCCCATCTAAATGGGAGCTATTAATGAATATCATTTCAATTATATCAGTATCAAAAAATAAATTTTGTTGTTAATTAATCTAGATTTCATCCAAATTATAGGTAGATTTTTTTATTTCGATTTTTTTATTTCTAATAAGCCCTACCTAATGTAATTTGCTAGTTAAATTAAGTATGAAATACCATCCTTTTCTAAGAAAATTTCCTATTTTCAAAGAAAAAGAAAGCAAACTATTGATTAAAAAAATGTGTTTTTTTTAAAAATTATTAAACGAAAAAAGACTAAAATTATAAAGATTGCACATTTCTTCCAAAAATAAATCTTTTTCATATTCCATATTAAATTATCCATATAAATAAATCATACATTAGAAACTTTCTACACAAATAGTATAGTTATTCTCTTCATCGTAATTTTAAAAGGCATATTTTAAACTTTTCAGTATTTCTTAAGAAATACACTCTATTAAAGGTGCTAGATAATAAATAGAATTCGCTTAAACAAATTTTTATTAAGATTAATTTTTTTATAATAATTTTTTCCCATTTTATATCATCTAAAGGGATTCTTATAGAAACAAATGCTATTTCTTCCTTACTGAAGTCTATAGAGTTTCTTATAAATCCTACTTTATTTTAGCCTTCTCATGTAATGCTAAAGGACTTTTTTTTATACTATTATATAATTCACTTAAATATTCATTTTCTAAGTTCTCGCCCTCTATTCCTTTTGCGATTTTAATAAAATCTTCTAATTTCATTTTCTCTTTGACTTAAGGATTATATAAATCCGTTTATAACATAATTAATAAAAAAGATAATGTATAAGCTCCACTAGCACTACTAAATATATCAGGATTATCAGATTAGAATTTATCTCCGAATTTTTAAAGTATTCTATCTACTATTTATGCCTATGTATATATATATATATATATATATATATATATATATATATATATATATATATATGTATAAATGCTATTTTTTTATTTATATATATATACTTCTCCTGGTAAAGTAAATTATTGTAATAATTTTCTCATAGCTTCATCGATTCTCATTTTTTTGAAATCTAAAGTATCCGTAAATTCACTTAGTACGCTTATATTAATTTCTTTATACCCACCTATATATTCTCCTATTGCGTCCTTACTGATCATATCACTACTTTTTAAAACTTTGCAATTCCTTTTGCGTCATCTGCTTATAAAATGCCAGCTTCTACTAAATGTTTAATACCTGTATTTGGTTTTTTATTAAATTTAGAAATTGCTCTTTAAGTTTCTATTTTAATATAATGTTGTCTATCAATTCTAAATATATAATAATTATATTAAATATAAAAAATATTTTTATATACATAGATTTTATAATTTTTACTAATTTTATAATAAAGCTGTATCTATTTTAGGTATTTAAATATTGTCTTTCGTTTCTTCTATTTAAGTATTATGTATATTATTAGAATTATCATCCAAATTATTATTTTTATTCAAAACTTAATAGTTCTCATAATACTCATATATAGATTTAATTTTAATAAATAAAGTTTCTATTGCATAAGTACTCAAACTTTATTCTTATTAAGGACTTACCATTAATTAAAATTCAGGATTTTAATAATATCCAGTAGCAATTAAACCTATTATTTAAATTAATATAAAGAAACCTAATATATATATATATATATATATATATATATATATATATATATATATATATATATATATATAAATATAAATACTCAATATCTAAACAATATTATAGGTTAATTAAGCTTAATTGGGTGAGCAATCATAATTTACATAAAAATCTATAACAATTTGATTTTATTGAAAATAATTATTAATAACTTATAAAGCCAAATACTTATGTGAAGAACTAGAATTTGTACTTTATAGTAATTTAATGATAATTTCATTTAAAAAAATAAGAATTTCGTTTTTTAATTCTTTTTTATGATAAATAATCAACAAAAGGAAAATTGAAAAAGCCTATTATAAAATATTACTATCATTATGTAAAGAACATTTCAGAATTCCATTAAAAAAATTATTTTTAATAATTTAAATTGCCTATTATTTTTCGAAAAAAGTGCTTCCTTTTAAATCGAAAATGGAATAAAGAATTTTCAATACAATTATTTTATATTTATTATTGTTTCCCATTAAATTAATCATTTATTCCTATTCAGAAGTTAAAATATAACATAAACAACTTAAAATAGTTAAACAATCTTAATAAGCTATTTTACATATTCTAACATAATTATCTCCCTCTATATTTATTTTCTATTCTTATTCGATTAAGTTATTTTTGCATTATTAAGAACATATGCCTACATTTAATTATTTACAGAATAAATTCGCAGTATTTCTACAAAAGGAACACCATCCAAATTTTCCTGCTTTTTATTAGATTTCATTTATTATTTCATTGTTTTTAATACAAACATTATCTATTATATTCTAAAGCTAATTATAACATATATTTTAGTATGTTAATTTTTTATTTAAATATTAATTTTATTATTTTATATAAAAATTTAAATCTTCTAAATATCCACTAAAGTCTCCTTAAGTTACTTCTTCTTAACTATTTGTATTATTATTAGGCGAAATATCTTTTTATTTCCTAGAAGAATTGTAATAAGGAGAATTAGGAATTTATTTATTAGTTATTTCAACAAATTCTTAAGGTCCTAGACTTTAAAACATGCTCTTTTAAGTATCTAAAACATAGAATTTTTAAAAAATATAACCAATTAATTATTATAAAGCATTTTAAGCTGATTTTTCTATACTTTTATTTTTCGTAACTTTTTATTAAAAAATATATAGAAAAATAAAAGAAACAAAATTAATAATTTTATATATATATATTTATTTTATTAAAAAAAAATTATTTAGAAAATTTTTTTTACATTTTTTTTTTACTTGAATATATTTATATTAATGTTTCTAATGCTAAAGTCAAATAATTATTATGTAATTCAGTTTTTGTATGTGTTCCTAATTATTAAATAATTTAAATTACATTTAATTATATAGTTTCTTCTTTAGAACTTACAGTTTATATTATTGTTTCAATTATAGTTTATAATAATGTTCTATTTTTGTTTACTTGATTTTATTTATTTTACTCTAATTATTCTTTAAAATCTTCTAAATTAATATTATATGCATAATCTTCACAATTTCCATCTAAAAAATTATTTAAAGTTAATAAACATATTGCATTTATAGAAACTTCAACTAATCTTTATATTTTAGTTTCAATAGCTAATTTATATATTAAAAAATATTAATTTGCATTTAAATGAGGATGTTTTTCTAATAACATTTATTCTATAATATATATAAATATATATAAATATATATAAATAATATATAAAGAAATATATTTTAATATTTATATATAAATATATGTTTATTTTTATATATGTTATTTATATTACTTTTCATTTAATTTATATATTCTCTAAATGCTATATATTTTTTAGGTATGTTTTTTTTTATATTTTCATATGATTTTCCTATTATTTCTTAATATAAATTTTATTATTTCTATTAGTTAATATATTCTAATTAAATATTAATATTTTCCATATTATTTTAAGATTCTATTATATTGTATATATTTTTTATTAAAATAATAATGTAAATTAAAAATATATGAAATAAATATAAATACATAAACATATAAAAATATAAATATATATTTTATATATATAATATATATATATATCTATATATGTTTTATTTTATTTTTTTATATTTTATATTTATATTTATATTAGAATATGTTTTTGATTAATTAATTTATATATTTTATAATTTAATTTATTTTATAATTTTTATTATTATTTTTTTAATAATTATAAAAATAAAAGTTTAAACTTAATTATTTTTAATAAATAAATTAAATTTTTTATTTTTTTCTTTAAATATTTTAGAATAATAAAAAAAATCGCAAACAAACATATATATTTATATAATAAATTATAACATAAATTTATAAATAAGAAAATCAAATATGAATAGCTTTTCCATAAGCACTCATGCAAGCTTCCTTCAAAGCTTCTGAAATAGTCGGATGTGCATGACAAGTTTTTCCCAAATCTTCAGCCGATCCACCATATTAAACTGCAAGTACTGCTTCAGCAATTAATTCACCTGCCGCATTACCCATAATATGTACACCAAGAATTTTATCAGTATCTTTCTCAGTTAATACTTTAACAATACCTTCATAATCATCATTAGCTTTAGCTCTAGAATTAGCCATCATAGGGAAACTACCTTTAGCATATTTAATACCTAAAATAGATAAATATTTAAATATATAAAGATAATATATAAAAATAAATATATATATTAATTTTTATAATATATATAATATATATATATATTTAATTTTTATTTTTTTATTTATTTTATTATTTAAATATAAAATATTTGCCTGCTTTAATTAATTCCTATTCATTTTTTCCAACCCAAGCTATTTCTGGATGAGTATAAATAACATTGGGAATAGTATCATAATTAACATGTCCTGCTTTTCCAGCTATATTTTCAACTGCAGCAATTCCTTCTTCTTCTCCTTTATGTGCTAACATAGGTCCTGCAACAACATCGCCTATGGCATAAATATTAGGAATATTAGTTTACAAATTATCATTTGTAATAATTCTTCCCTTATCATCCATTTTAACACCGACCTTATCTTATCCTAAACCACCTAAAAATGGTCTTCTTCCAGTCGCTACTAAAACATGTTCAGCCTATAAACTAATGCTAGGCCCTCCTTTAACAGGTTCTATATTAACAACAGCATGTGTGCCCAAATTTTACCCGGATATGACTTTATGGCCAGTTAAAATCTCTATCCCATGATGTTTTAAGGACTTATGGAAAACCTTAGCTATATCAGAATCTAAAAATGGACAAATTTAATCAGCAAACTCAACTACAGTAACCTTAGTACCGAATCTTTAATACACAGACCCCATTTCTAACCCAATAACCCCAGCTCCTATAATGATCATTTTTTCGGGAATTTTCTACAAAGCCAAAGCACCAGTGGAGGATAAAATAATCTTCTCATCAAAAGGAAGGCCAGGGAAAGGACTTGGTTCAGAACCGGTAGCTATAATAATATTTTTAGTTGAAACAGTTTATTTTTATCCATTTGATAAATCTACTTATAGTGTATTTTTATCAGATATTTTTCCAAATCCTTTTATATAATCTACTTTATTTTTTTTAAACAAGAATTCAATTCCTGAAGTTAATCCTTTTACTATACTTCCTTTTTTTTCTTATACTTTATCTATATATTTTAAATAAATTAATATATATATATATAAATAAAATATGAATATATATATTATGATAAATATTTAAAAAATTATATATATATGTAAAATTATATATATATATATATATATATATATATATATATATATATATATATATATTATTTTTACTCCAATTTAAATTTATAGATTCACATTCAATACCTAATTATTTAAATTATTTAGTAGAATCCCAGTATTTTTAAGATATGTTAAGTAAAGCTTTTGATGGAATGCATCCGACGTTTAAACATGTACCTCCTAAAGATCCTCTATTTTCAACACATGCGGTTTTAAATCCTAATTATCCTGCTTTTATTGCTGCCACATAACCTTTATTTATATATTAATTTATTTTTTATTTATATTTAGTACCAGCAGGTCCTCCTCCTATTATTACAATATCATATTAAGCAACAGATGAAAAACCAAATTTGTTTTATTTTAATGAATGTAGATTAGAATACTATTTGGGGAATATTCTGTACATATTTTTTTATAATATTGTATTGTAATTTTATATATGATATTTATTTTTTTATTAATTTATTTAATATCAGAATATATATTTTAATTTTATATTAATATATAATTACTATAATAAATATATATTATTTTTCTATAATCTTTTAATAATTAAAATGGTTTATTATTATTTTTTAATTTATTTAATAATAATAATTTTATTTTAATAAATATAAAATAATTTTTGTTAATGATTATATATTCAATATAAAAATAATATATATTTTTTAAAAAAAATAATAATTTTTATAATTAAAAATAAAATTTAAAATATATAAATATTTATTAATGATTGAAAATTCCCCAAAAACACTAAACAGTGGCATAATAAATGAAATAAAGCCTTTAATTTTATATGATTTTTTATAATTTAAAATATGCCGTTATGTATTTTTGTAAATTCCAGGTGCTGCTTAATGTATGAACTTATATAATTCAATTAGTTTAACTTTATTCGCTCAAATAGAAAATATTTTCGGCTTCGTAAGATAACTAGGTAGAAATTTGCCATTTTTTTTATATTAATTAATAGGTAAAATTTACATAAATATATTTGATCCTATATATATATTTTTAAATAAATAGGATATCCTATAATATTTTTTATTTTTATTTTTTATTTAACTTCATAAACTCAATATTATATATTATAAGCCTTCGATAATGAAAATCAAATTTATTATTTAAACGTTCATTAAATTTTAATTACAGGAGCATTTCTATTCTACGTTTTAACATATTTTATTTCCCCAGGTCATTTCAATACTAAAGAAGACATAGATGAAATACATCATGCTATGTAAAATTAACCTGAACTTAAATATAATGTAAGAATTTTATGCGAACCATGCAATTAACCTAAAATAATTCGTTCAAAACATTGTGTGATTTGTGATAGGTAATTTTAATATTTATAATTTAAAATATTTTTATAATAAAAAAAGATGTGTTGCAAAATATGAATATCATTCTAAAGTTTTAAATAAATGTATTGGTGCAGCAAATTTACCTTATTACTATTTTTTTTGTGTTTTTATTAGTACTTTATTTGGATATTAGTAATTTATATTTTTTATTAATATAGTTATCTAATAATAAAAGGATATACATATTTTTTGTTATCAGAAGCTAAAAAAAATATAAAATAGATATTTTATAAATGTTATTAAATATAAGAATATGCTTTTATTATTCATCTCTTTTAATATAACACACAATTTTAGTAAATTTATTATATATAAATAAAATAATATATATATATATAAATATATATTTAAATATTTATTTATATATATTTTATTATACATTTAATTTTTTTATATTTATATAAATAGATATTACATAATTTAACAACAAACGAAGTCTAATAATTTAAAAAACTTGCCTATTTATGGAAAAACCCTTAATTAGATTTTTTTAATCCTTTTGATAAAAGTTTTATTGGCAATTTAATTGAATTTTTCTTAGTATTGTTTACTCATAAAGGAGTTAAAATCCAATATAACTCTATCTAAGATGAAGAAAAAAGTTTTGAAAATAAAAAGCAATGCGATATAAAAGATTTTCAAGGAAGTGATGGAAGTAATGATAGTGACGACGAAGAGGAAGAATCCAAGTCTCAAACAGAATCTTAAACAATTAAAGAAATTGAAAAAATCTGGTATAATAATGTATAATCAGAAAAATATTTTAATTGGAAAACTAAAAAATGTTATACTATAATTGATATTCCGAATTCACCAATGAGAAATGTAGTCAGACAGGTCTTAGTGAAATAGTTAAAAAAAGAACTTAGAAAATAAGAAGTAAATATTTTGTAATTTTATTATAATTACGAAATAAGAGAACTTGAAAAAAAACTAAAATAAAAGTTAATTTCAAAAGAATAATTTTAAATTTTATAATAGGAATTAACACAAAATTTTTAAAACAATAAAAAATAAGCTTTAAATAGAACTTTAGAAAATTATAAATAATAATTTCATAATGAAGATTATTAGAAATAAATTAAATAACATTTTAAATTATAATTGACTTAAAACCTATTATAATTAAATAATTCAAATAAAGAGGAACATAAATAAATTAAAGAATAAATCGAAATAAATACTTATGGACTTGCATATTTATTTGGATAGTAAGAAGTAGAAGAAGTAAAATAAAAAGTGAAATAATAAAAAGGAGAGAATAATAATAAATCTATTGAAACTAATAATATAAGTATCTAGTAAAATAATTTGCTAATAAATTAAGAAAAATAATTTAAATAAATCGACTTATAAATGCCTTAAATGATGTGATTTTATATATAAATATGCTAAAATATATATTATTAATAATAATTACAATAATATTTATTTTTATAATAATAATAATTATTTTATATTTAGTATTTTTAAAATTTAATATATTTTTAAATTTCAATATAATACAATTTTTATTTATTATTTACAAAAAATTAAAATAATATCAAATTTTTTTTTTTTTTTTTTAAATTAATTAAATAAATACAAAATAGCAAATATAATAAATGAATGATAATATAAGTAAAAATTAAAATTTATATAAATAAATTAAAAAAAAAGCATATAAAGTTGTATAAAAATTAGACTTTGAATAAGTAAAAACTACAAAATTGTTTTAAAAGTTTTACGAATCCTACAATAATAAAAATATTAAATAATAAAAACTACATAATAACTGCAATTTATAAAAAAAAGCTCCTCAACAAAACGTAAATAATACACAGAAAATTAATTAAAAAACAGACTTAAAACATGAATAAGAATAATATTTTAATTATAATCATAAGTAATAAATAGATGAATTAGATCATGAAAGTGAATTAGTTGGTCATTCTTAATTAATTCCAGGTGATTATAATGCTAAATTAAATAATGTAAAAAAGCAAATGCCACCCTACTAAATAACTAATCAATAAATATATTCAGAAAACAGTTTAATTTAATAGACAAACAGCAATTAATTTTAGAGGTAAAATCGATTTAATAATGAAAATTAGGATAAATATAACTAAAATTATACTTAATTGTAAGAAAATAGTAATAAAAAATATAACAGTAAATCAAAATAAAGAGAAAGTTAAGATAAATTCTAAAATAATAATTTAATATAATAATCAAATAGTAATAAAAAAGAAATGAATCATTAGATTATAATAAAGAACAATAAGAATAAATTAAAATACTTTATGAATAATAAATAGATAGACTAAATTTCAATTTGGAAGAATTTAAATAATAAATGCTAAAAGATAGAAATTCCTTAAATTAAACTATTCTTAATTAAAAAGATAATATTGATTAATTATAAGAAAAAGTATAGATTAAATATAGTAATTACATAATTATAATTGTTTTTTTATATAGATATATGATTTTTAAAGAAAATAAGAACTTTTATAAATGGAAAATGATAAGCATAAATAAAGAAATTAACACGAGATACTAATAAGGACTAAAATAGAAGAAGATTTAAGAGAAGTTTAGTATTAACTAGAAGAATATAAAGATAGAATTGAGTATTTATAAAAAAAAAATATATATCAATAAATATATATATATAATTATATATTTATATATTTATATATTTATATATTTTTTATTTATTTTTTTAGAGAATAATAAAGAGAAAATTCAAGAAAAGATGACAATATAAATTATTTAAAATAACAATTAGAAATATAAAAATAAAAAACATAATAAATATAGTAATCTATAATTTACAAATAAAAAATAAAATAAAAAATTTAAATAGAATTTAAAATGAACGAAATCAATAAAGTATGAAAGAAGAATAAGAAATATTATTTTAAGAATTATAAAGTTATTAATAAAATTATAAACAAATTGAAGATTTTAAAGAAAAATTTAATCATTAAAAAATCGAAAATAAACATTTATAGAATGATTTAGATGAACTCAAATAAAAAATGTAGTAATTAGTATTTAATAACGAGTAATAAAAATAAGAAATATATAATTAGAAACATAAGATAATGGAAAAAGCATAAAAAGAAAACTAGTTATAAATTTAGTTTGAAAATTCTCAAATAGAAATACAATAACTTAAAATTTTATTATAAAAAGCTGAAAACTAATTGATGAATATTAATAATACAAAAAGAATAAATTAAAATTACATATAAAATTAAGAAAATTATCAAGAAAATTATGACTTTAATACAAGAAAAAACTAAAATAATATATCATTTTAATAAGAAAACAATCATTTTAACTAAAAATAAAATTTTATTTATAATAATTCATTTAGTCCTTAAAAAAATAATAATTCTAAAAAAGCTAAAGAAAACATAAATGATTAAACTAATAATTAAATATAAAATAATGAAAATATAAATTATTTAAAAAGAAAATAAATAAACTAAAATAAAGATAATTATTAAAAATAATAAGATGAAAAAAAAAGCGATTATTCAGAAATATATAATATGTATTTAAATAATAATAATAATAAATTTAATTAATAAAATGATAATGACACTTATTATAATACCCAATAAAGAGATATTTAATAAAAAAAAATGATAATTTTTTAAAAATAATGAATTAGAATAAGAAAAAGAATTACCCATTAATGAAATAGAAAAATTTTTAATGAATTTAAATTAAGAAAAAGATTAAGTAAATTATTTATATATATATATATATAAATATATATATATATATATATATATAACTTTTTATTACGGGTTAGTTAATATATCAAAATTAATGAAAAAATATAAAATTAAATATTTAAAAAAATGAAATATATAAATATATTTATTTATGATTTATATATATACTTATTTTTTATATTCTTTAGATTAATAATTAATTATTAAAACTTGAAAATTCTAAAATAAAATCAGCCATTAATATTAAAAGAAAAATTTAATTAAATTAAGATTTAGAAAGAATAAATAATAATATTTCATAATTAAAAACTAAATTAAGAGATATGAATGCTTTATATGGATATTGAAAAATATAATATATATACATATATATATATATATTTTTTACTTAATTTTTTTATGTAATATTAAATTAAATTAAAATAAATTCTTTATATAAATATACAAAATTAATAATTATATATATTTTTTTTTAACTGTGTATTTATTTTATTTTTAAAAAAATGATTTCTGAATAATATAATCAATTATATGGTGTAAAATTAAATAAACCTAAAAATATTCAATAAAAAAATATATCAAGAAGTCTTTTCGAAGAAGAATTAAAAATAAATAAAAATAATATGCATTTCGAAAATTAAAATATAAAAAATATAAAATCTAAAATTGTAAACATATAAGCTTAAATCCGTTCAAAAAATTAAACTTCTAAAAAATCTTCAAATAATATAAGCAAGTTATATACTAATATTGAAAAATTTCAAACATATTAAGATAAAAGCTATAATAATATATAAATAAATTCATAATTAGTTAACAGTTAATAAATAAGTGAACATAATGAAGAAAGAAAAAACATAATTATTGATTAAGAAAGCTTTAAAGAAGAATTTTAAAATGAAGAAATTAATTAAAAATAAGAAAATAAGCCTAAAAATTCATTTTTTAATTCATTTAAAAAATTAAGTTTTCACCAAATAAAATAATCATAAAAACAATGTTTATATAAGAAAAATAGCAATATTAATAATAAATAATTAAATAATAATAAAATTTAATAGAATAAAAATGAAATATTAATTAATTAACAGCTTGAAATTTAACAAAAGTATTTAATTAATTAATTAATTTATTTATTTCAATTTAGATAAGATTTTGAATAATTACTTGAATTAATAAAAAGCGAAAAATTCAAAATAAGAAACTAAATGTCTTAATTATAAGATGAAAGAAAATTATATAAAGAATCATATTCGGAACTTAAAGTATTTTTTGTTTTGTTTTGTTCTTAAATAGGTATAAAATTATTTAAATAAATATAAAGGAATAATTTGAAATGGATGAAAAAATAAAAAAATCTTAAATATTTTAATAAATAGTTTATTTAATTAATAAATGTAAAGATCGTAATGGTAGTTTATCTTTAAAATAATATTAAGGTATACATATTATATATTGATTTATTAAAAATAATTAATATATTATTAAATAAATAAGATAAAATTGAAAAAACTATAAATTAATTAAAAAACAAAGATGAAATTTTGGCTTATTAGAGGTAAATATTTTATAATTCTTTTTAATGAAAAAAATCAATTTTAATAAAAAAAGATTAGCAATTATAAAACTTTTATAAATATAATAAAAAAGTAGCTGATTAATTATTATATTTATATATTAATTATAATTTTTTATAAAAATAATTTTTTTCTTATATTTAAACTTAAAAATAAATATTTATAAGATTATATATATTGAATAATTATTATATATAATTTTAATAATTATAAATAAAAAAATAAACTATAAAATATTATAAATATAATAAGCTATTTTTTCAAAAATACTTTATGTCGGGTTTACATAATTTAGTTTTAATAGTTTAATTTAAAACTATAAAAGAAATTTAATCTAAAAATCTAAAAACTAATTTAAAATAAATAAATATGTGTAAATTTCTCTAAGAAAAAGTTATATAAAGTTTCGTAATATGAAATAATATTTAATAAATATGCATTATGTCCCCTTTGGTGTTTTACAAATGCTATAATTTTATTTATATTTTCGATGAAATGAGATATAAAATTTAAAATATTTAATACTTAACTTTTTAAAATAAAAAGTAAATAAAATACTTCATATAATTTCATTTTGATAACAATTATAAATTTGATTAAATGATGTTATTAAATAATTGCTTATTTATTCTATAAAAATTCTTTATTTGTATTTTTGTTACAGTAATTTTATATTTTCTCATTATATGATGTTTTCCTATAATTTTATTATAAAGGTTTTTCGGGTTCTATTATATTTTTTATAGTAGTTTTTTTGCTGATATTGTTTTTAAAAAAATATTATAAACAATTAATATATAGATCCGTGTTTTTGCTATATATATATATTTAGTAGTTTTAATTTAATCTTTCAATTTTTTTATTTATTAATATAGAGAATATTAATAAAATTAACAGAGACAATTATTACTTTTTATTAAAAGAAAAAAAAATAATTAAATTAAATAAAAAATAGTAAAGTTTTTTTTTTTTAAAAAAAAAATATATAATAAATACTATTATTTGTACAATTTTTTTTTTTTTTTTTTAAATTTATTTATATAATTAAAAAAAAAAAAAAAGTTCATTAACTTAAAGCTACATCAATAAACTTATTCCATTCCATAGGATTGTTTCTTTAAATTTCAATAGCCAATTATTTAATTTTGTGCACAATTTTATTAGTTTACTATAGTTATTCAATAATGATTTTATCGATTTCACTAATATCAATATTAAGTAGTTTTTTTTCCAAAAAATTATAATAAAAGTAATTATTTTTATATTGTTTCTTCCATTCCTAAAATTCATTATCCAATTCTTAATAAATCAAATTTAATTTATGATCTTTATTAAACATCTAGGGTAAAAAATAATTACATATATTCTTGTCATCCTTATCAAGTAATTTCAAAACAAGTAAACAAGGAATATTCAAAAATATATCAGCATCTCTACATTCTATTTATTCTTAAAATTCCTTATATTTTTAACCCGTAGCTTCAATAATATGAGAAAAATAAATTAAAAATGAACACTTTTTTCCTTCTAAAAAATAATCTTTACCTATTTTTTTTTTTTTTTAAATAAATAAATAAATTATTAATATACTAAATATTATATCATATAAATATATATATACCTTTTTCCCAAGAGTCTTCGTATTTATTAAGAGCTTCAACTAATTCACTATTATTTTTTAATTAAGGGTCAACCATTTCAATATTATCTTCATATTTTTTAAACAAACTCCTCAAATTTTTAAAGTTAGCTTTGATTTATTCCGCAAGGCTCCTAACAGCTCTCGATTATTCATTCGTGACTTTTCTTAATATTCCTTCGGCTTATTATAAAATTTCAAAATCTAGATCGTCTCTTCCTTTTCCTTCTAAATTAGCCACTGAATTCATTAAACAGATTTATTTACATAAATTTTATTAAAGTTTTATATATTCAGGGTTATATATAAAAAATTTCCCTTTAATTTTTTCCCTTATTTCAAGAGATTCTAGCTCTTTTTAGATATTTATTGCATTTTGAACATATCTACGAGCTTCAGTTTCTATTACCATTAGTTCATTTACGTACATTTTTTCAAATAAAGTCCAGTTTTTATCAAATTTTTCTAAACTTTCTTTTAATTATTTCTTCATTTCTTCACAACTCGAGTCTACAATTTAACCTTAACATGTATTCTAGTATACGATCCTTATTTAATTTTACATTTTGTAAAAACTCACTAAAACTTATTTCCCGTATTCAAGTACTTCTTATGAAAATGAATATTTTTCACCATTAACATATAAATGAGGAAAACCTATATATATATATAAATAAATATATATATATAATATATATATATATATTTTATAATTATTTATATTAATATATTACTATCAATATTTATTTTTTTATATTTATATATTTATGAAATAATTATATTCATATATATATAAATTTAAATATATTTTACCTTCTTAAGCACTATCGAAAATCTCAGTTAAATAACTTAATTCTTCTTCTTTGTATAATATTTTATATGCTTTAGAAAATTTTTCCCTATATTTTCTACAACTTATTTAGCATCCAGAATCCTTTTTTTAATTTTTAATAATAAAAAAATAATATAGACATATTGAAAATACTTTTATAAATTTTTCAATATTCTTTAAATATTTTTTAAAAGTTTTTTATCCTTCAGTAGAATCCAAATCATATTTTTAATAATCAATTTGTATTAATTTTTATTAAATCATAATTATTTTTTCTAAACTAAGGAATTAATAACTTCTCTTAAATTCTTCGAAATCAGTCAAAGGTCTAGCAGGAGCTGTCTAAACCCTTAAGCGTTTGTTATCATCATATTCACTTTTATTATTATTACTTTAAATTATATTAGAAGATTCTTAAGATGAAGATTATATACCTCCACTTGAATTTTCTTCTTAGTTTTTTTCATATTTAGATTCCTATTAGCTAAACGTTTCTTATTCGATTTAGCAATCTTCGTCACCTTCATTATATTCTTCCATTTATTCATCGTCGTCATTTTCATCGTCATAAAAACGTTCTTATTCATCATCGTCATTATCATTATATTAAGATAAAGAATATTATTAATTTTATCTGGTAAAGTTAGTGTCACTTTCGATTCTAGGATTTCTTTAATTAGTTGAAATTTATCGATTATTTGCAATATGGGAATTATTTAAAGAAAAAATCTACCTATTAATATTCATATTATACGTAGGATTTATTTAATTAAAATCTTAAGAATTATTTCTCAAAAAGCGCATTTATTCGCGTCTTGCATTCTCATTTAATTCTTGAAATAAATCTCTATTTTGATTACTTAAATTATTATTAAATATATTAATATTTATATTTGTATTTGTATTTATATTAGTATTTCTATTATTATTAGTATTTATTTAATTTTAATTTTAGATATTTGTATGACTTGCACGTCCAAATAATTAATAATAATTCATTTATTTCTTCTTTTTTTTCAATATAAAACTTTTGCTTTTTTGGTTTTTTTTAATATTTTAATGTTAATAACTATTAATGTTTTTTTTTTTATTATATATATATATAATGTTTATTTCCTATATTTTTTTTCTTTTTTAATTTTTCTTATAATTTATTTTTCTGGTGTTTTATATGATATTTTTTTAATATATTAAATATTAATAAATAAATGATTAATTTCTTTTTTTAAATATTAAAATAAAATAGAATTTAAAAAAATTATTTCAGTTTCTCAATAAATTTAATTAAAAATAAAAGTAGAAAATACAAAATTTAAATATATACTTTTAATTAAATTAAAATATAAATTAAAATTTAATTATATTATAATAATTTGCATTAATTATTTTAATAAATTAAGGATATAATATTATTATATTATTTTATTAATTATTGTTATAAAAATTTAAGATATAATGATATATATTATAATCAATTTTTTTTTTTTAATTTTATTTATAATAATAATTTTTGAATATAATACTAAAATAAAAATTATATATTATTTTTTTATATTTAAAAAATTAATTAATATTAAAATTCTAAATAATTTTTTTTATATTTAATATTTTTAAAACTAAACATATATTTTTCTTTTATTAATTATATAAACAGTAATATATATCATTATGTATTTATTTTAATAGTATTTTAATAATATAAATAAATTAAAATGAATATATAAGCATTTAACATATTATATATAAATTATAAAAAGACTAATTGTTTAAATAATTTTAAATCTCAAAAGTAACTTTTTTATTAAATTTATATAAATTAATTTGTTTGTTACTGTTAATTTTTTTTTAAATAAAAAGATTTAATTATTTAACTTTTTAATTTTGGTAATTGGAAAAAAGAATTATGATTTTTTTTTAAAATAATAAACTTACATTATAAAAAAAACTATAAAATGATAAAAAAGATAAATATAAAAAAAAGTAAAATCATTAAAATAAATATAAAAAGTATATAATAAGAAATTAATAATAATATAAAAAAATGAATTTATATATAAATATTTTCTAATATAATAAAACTAAAATATATTATTATTATTAAAAATATTTGCTTATTTTATATTTTAATAAAAAAAAAATTAATAAATTTCTATATTTAAATTTTTATAAATGAAAATTATTTTTTATAAATTATACAATCTTTTTATTTAATGTTTTTTTTTTTGATAATAATGATTTTTTTTATATTTTATGAAGTTTAGTATTATAATATAGGTTAATATTTTTCAAATTGTGTTAATAATTTTTAAGGAATGTATTAATTACGAATAAAAAGATAATCTAATTTACTAAAATGAATATTAATATTATCAAAAAAAAAAAATTAATATTATAGATAATAATGATATATATAAATAAATATATTTATAATAATAATATATATTATTTAAATAGATTTATATATAGATGGATTAAAATTTAAAAATAATTGTTATAAAAATTTTAGAAGCCTTTTTAATATACTAAAGTGATATCTTTTTAGATTAATTTATTATTACTAAATTAAAATTTAATATAATTTTGATTTTTGCTAATTTAAAACAGCTTAATGTATATTTTAATTGATTATTGGATTTTTAAATTATATAAAAAAATACTAATGTTAATAATTGATTAATAGTAAATATTAATATAAAACAATTCAAATTATTATTTAAAAATATTTTTATAAATATATAAATATTTAAAAAAATATATGTATATATGTTAATATAAATATTAATTAATATATAATAATTATTTTAAAAAATATAATAATCTTTAATTTTAAATATAAATAATATATATATTAGTTTTAAATATAAATATAAATATAAAACTTTTATTTTTCTTAATAAAATTCAATTTTAATTATCTTAAATCAACAACTAATATCCAATTTTTATTTCTTCATTTTCCTTACATATAATAATTTTATCTAAATGATCTATAATGCATTTCTCATTTATTTTTTTAATTCCATTTCTAATCCTTCATTTTAAATTACCTATACTCCATTTTATGAAAAATTAGCAATTAAAAATTAATCGTCTTTATTTTTTAAAATTTTACAATGATTTCTTGATATTTTCCTTAAATCGATATTTTTTACTGTTAAAAAGTCATTTCTGGTAAACTAATGTACTAGAAAATAATTTTTTTTTCTTATTTTTAAAATTTACTAGTATCAATTCCTATATTAATATCTGGAAGTTCTTCAACTAGTGATTTTAGGATAATTTCTTTTTCGTTAATTTTTTTTTCTTAGGAAAGTTAAATTTAATCTTACATTGATTTATCCTTATCCAAGTTTTTTTTATCTTGAGAAAAATAAGAGGTATTATCTTCGTTTTCCTTTAAATCTATAAATTGTATATTTTAAAAGCTTTTTTTGGAAACTTCAGACAATATATCGTCTATTATTATTCTTTGTGAATAATTTTCTGATATTTCCCCTTCTTATTTTTCATTCTAAAAGGCTTATATTTTTAATTCTTAGATTAAAAATAATAGTTTAATGTTATTTTTTTAAATTTTCTATTCTGGGTTTTCAAATATTTCATAAAGAATTTTTTTCAAGCATTTTCGAATATAATTCTATTTTTTATTTTCTATTATTGTTTTTATTAAATCTTATTCAGTTTCCAAAATTATTAAAAGTTCTTTTTATATATAAAATGTATAAGGGGAAAGCTTTTAGTGGTTATTTTAAAGGAAATGTTTTAGATCAATTAAGAGTGATTAGAAATAGTTTATTTCAAAAATAAATTTTTCTGTTTCCATAAATTTGTTTAGTTTTTTTAATATTTTACAAACCTTTTATAATAAATTCATTTTATTTATATATTTTATTAAAATTTTAAAATTTTTTTTGATTATTAATTTTTAATTTTAATTTAAGGTTAGATTTTTTATTAATAATATGACTCTTAAAATTTAACGATAAAAAATAGAAATATATGTATTTTAATAATAAATATTTATAAAATAAAAAATAATTAGTATTATATTATTATAAAAAATAAATAGATAAATTTTGTATAGAAATAATATAATTGTAAATAAAAATATATATAAAAAAAATATTAAAATAAATATATATATAAATATATATATATTTTTTTATATAAATATATATTTCATATATAATTAATTATATAGTATAATTATTACTTACATTAACTATTTTTTTTTATTTTTTATTAATTATAAAAAATATTATTTTAAACTGAAAAAAAATAATTTAAATATAAAATTTTATCATATTTATTTTTAATACATATAAATAATGGAAATAACATCAAATTTAAATTAGTAATAATCTTTAAAAGCTATTTCAAAAAATAAATTTAAAATTTAAAAGCCATTATTATAACTATAATAAATTTTAAAAAATTTTAATGAATTTAATTAAATAATTCATTAATTAAGTTAAAAAACTATAAAATAATGTCAAAATTTTTATTAAAAACTATAAGTTTTACACTAAAAAAAAAAGAGAATTTTTAGTAAAAATGAACCAATTCCTTAAAAAGAAGATAAAATAGAATATAAAATTGAAACCTAAAAAAAGTAAAAACAAGAAAAATAGGATATATATAATAAATATGAATAAGATATCTAAAAAAAAAATGAATAAGAAATATTAATAAAAAAAAATCCTATTAAAAATATTGAAATTATAAAAGTAGATGAAAAAGCTTTAGATTTTATAATAAAAATGAACAAATTAAGAAAAGAATAAGAACAGAAAAAAATAATATTAAAAGAAGCATCTTTAAAAAAATAAATATTAGAAAAAAAATAATTAGAAGAAAAATAAAACGAACTTAAAATAAAATAAATAGAAGATAAAAGACAAAAAATAAATATTAATTTAGAAAAAATACGTATATAAAGTGAGGAACGAAAAATAATGAATATAAAATCAAACCAATTAATAAAAGAAATTAAGTATTTTTAACCATAAAGAAAAGACGAAGAATTAGAAAACTACTACCATATATAAATTCCTGAATTAGAAAAGCATAAAAATGAACTGGCTTTGAAAAGATAAAATATGTATGTTTCACCTACAAATAGAAATCAATAGTAAGAGGATATTATAAAAGGAAATTAATATAAAAAATATACATATAAGAAAATAATAGATTACCCTTAAAATAATTTTTATGATAGTAATAATAATAGAAGTGCTTCTTTTAAACAAAGAAATAAATTTGAAGAAAATAATTAATCTTCTTTTTATTTAAATGAATATAAAAAAAAAGTCAATTTTAATAAAAACTAAGAAAATATATAAAAAGTAGAATTTAAAGCTAATCTTTAATAAAATAAACAAAAAATACAAGAAAATTATTTAAATCTAGTAAAAGAGAAAATCGATAATTTACAAAATATTTATTGAAAATAAAATAAAAATATAAAAAATTCATATTTATATGGATATATAAATATTATATATATATATATATATATATAATATATTTTAATTAAAAAAAAAAATGTGGACTAGATTAGCTTATCTAACCATAAATTAAGCTTTTAAACCCAAATTATAAGGATATTAATGGCAAGGTCCTTTAATATCAAATAGATATAAAGCGTTATTAAGAAAATAATTCAGGCTAAATAATATTCCATGGATTGTGGATCCTCCTAAAGACGATTCGAAAAATCAAAGACATAAAAACCAAAAGGAACGAAAGATTAAAGAAGTAGGCCAATGAGATTAGCAAAAATAAAACAAAACTTAGTTGAGGCAGAATAAAAAATACTAGAATATAGATAAATATAAATTAATAACAGGCCACTTTCTGGTTTAGATAGTATAATATAAAAAACTATACCATATTGGCTATCTTAAAAAGCGAAAGAAGCTATCATTTAAGAAAGATAAGCTTAAACTGGAAAAACTTCTAAAACTAGTTTACTTCCTTCTGAAGATAAAAGAAAGACTTTTGGTAACAAAAAAAAATGATGATAAAAAGAAAATTTTTGAAATAAAAGAAAAAAAATAATATATTTTAAAGAAAATATATATATGTAGAAAATATATTATTTTATTTTATAAAATATATAAATAATTTTTTTTTTTTATATAAAAAAATAATATATAAATAAATTTATATATTTATTTAATTTTTTTCAAAAGATATCTAATAATATTAATAAATATTATATTATAATATTTCAATGTATATGTAAATATAAATAAAAATATACATTGCATATATATTTATAAATATAAATATGTGTATATATATATATATATATATTATATACTTTTATATATATATATATTTATTTTTATATATATAAGTTTTTATTTATAATGGATATTGAATAAATAATTTGGGTCGAAGAATATATTTCTTCTAGAAAAGAATTTTCTATTAATGTCAAAAACCCTGATGGTTTAAAATTATATTTAAAAGAAGGAAAAGCTGAAATCCACGGTCGCGAATTACCTTTACACACTTTATAGCAATTTTAAAAAGGCGAAAGATTCTGTATATATACCTGGTCTGAATCAACAATATGTTTAGAATATAAAAATGACGAAGATTTTTTTTATTTAACAGACTAAACAAATTATTCTACATATATAAATATATCATAATATATCAATGAATTAAGATAAGAAGCTTAAGAATTTCCTTTTAAAATTGGACCAAGAATATTAGTATGTGGTGGTAAATAAAGCGGTAAAACTACTGTAATATATTTTTTATAATAATATATATATATATATATATATATATATATATATATATATATATATATATATATATAGATAGTAAAAATATTTACTAATTATGCCTGTAAATTAGGCTGGAAACCTATAATGGTGGATTTAGATCCTGATATGAATTCTATATTAACAAGTTGCTGTATAGGTGCTGTTGTTTGTAAGGATTTTTATTGCTAAAATGCTATTGAGAGTGTTGATAAAGTAGCTCTTTTTCATGGGTTTTAGAAGGCTAATATAGTCTTATTATAAAATTAGATAGAGGTATTGGGTAATTTTGTATGTAAAAAATTAGAAATAAATATGTTAAATTTTTCTTAAAAAATTAAAATTGGAATGAATTGAATGAAATTTTCGCTAGTGGATGTATTGTTAATATGCCTCATATTCCATCAAGTGTTTAATAAAAGAATTTTATTGATTAGATCATTAAATGGTTCAAAATAAGTCTTATTTTGTGTTTAGAGGATGAACTTTTCTACTCTTTAAAGTAAAAACACTAAATTAATATTGTCAGAATTCAAAAACCAGGAGGAGTTAAAAGTAGAGAAGAAATTGAGTGGTAAGAAGATTAAAATAGGTTCAATTAATAGATTTTAAAATAATATTTCTATGGTATTAATTCAGATATTAGGTAAATTATAACAATTATTCATATTATTATTTTTATGTAATTATTAATTAAAAAATTAATGTATATAAAGAATAGCAACTATAATTTTTTATTTAAATGAGTTTATAAAAATGAGAAAATAAAAAATTATTAGTAAAATATATAGTAATTTATACGTATGTTGAAATAAATAAAATAATATATATATATATATATATATATATTTATTTAATTACAAAGATGTTAGAATGTAATGATTAACATTAATGATTTTGTATTCTATAGATTTAAATGTTTAGATGAAAAAAATTCGTAATAAGCTGATTCTTCGCAACTTTAATTAGAATAAGTTGATCTTTTAAAGGAAAACCTTGTAAAAAGCATTGTCGGAATTCTTAATTTAAGTAAAGATTAAGTAGAAAAAATAAATAACTAAGACGAAGTTTTATAGTTAATTTGTAAAAGTACAGTATGCTTATTAGCTCATATTTAACAAATTAATGAATAATAAAGATCTATACATTTACTTTTACCAGGATTAAATATAGAAGATTTTATTAAAAATAAAGTTTTTATAATAGGAAATATAACATGGCATTGATTAAAAAAAAAAATTAATATTTTTTTAATAAAAAATTGTTTATATTATATTATTTTTATTTTTTATTAAATATATATTTAAATAAATAAATATTTTCAAAATAAATACTCTGCTTTAAAATTATCCAAAAAAATTAATTTCTATCAAAAATTTTATTTCCTCTAATAAAAGTTTACTAAACTTCCCCTTTTAGCTTACATCCATTCAATAAATGCAGTTAAGGTGCGAACTTTTACCCTTCCTATATAAATGCGCTAAATTTATTTACCTCAAAAGGATCAAAAATTATAAAATCAGCATATTTTCCTACTTAAATACCTCCTTTTTTATCTAATTTACATATTTTTGCTGGATTAATACTCAAAACTTACATTATTTTTATTAAATATTATTATCCTAAATCATCTAAAACTTACTTATTTTCACCCCAAACTCCCTTTTATATTAATTAATATACGCAACAAGTCCATAAAGCCTATAATTAACCTCCTATAGAAAAAAGCCCATTGACTGCTTTAGAAAAATCACCAGGAAAAAAGTCAAAATCTTCCTAATCTGAAAAGCATAAATCTTTGGGAGAAAAAAACTTGTATTTACAAGGGACTGAAAAATGCTAAGAACCTACCATTTAGATTAGGTTATCTTAATTAAAAAGAGCATTTAGAAGCATATCTCTGTTATATTTATTATAAATTGCCGGCTCAGTTTTAAATCGTGTATCTCCATCAGTTATTTATGTACATTCGAAAAACAAAAAAGGCCAAGACACCTCAGTGTATATATTAGAAATATTCAAGAACTCAATCTTCATATCATATAGTTTAAATAAAGAAAGAGCATTTGATATATTTTAGAAAATTAAGTTAATTTTAGAATTATAATTATTATTATTATTATTATTATTATTATTACTATTATTATTATTTTTGCTATTTTTATTATTTTTATTATGTTATAATTTAATTAAAAGATTTTTATAAAATTTAACTGCAAAAAGTTCCCAATATATAGGCCTTAAAGCTAGGAAATTATAATAGTCTCTTATAGTATTTTTTTCTTAATCTTTATTATTTTCTTCTTTTTTATTTTGGATCTCGAGTTCTGTTACACTGTTATTTACTGAATTTTAATTTGAATTATCGTCTTATGTAGTATTATTTAGTTTTAATTATTAACGACGGATTAAAATACTTGATTTATTTGAAGCATTTCCTACAGGGGATTCACTCTATAATAAGTTATTTGAAATTTTTAATATAGTGTCTTTAGGCGGAGTATTTTGCATTTATAAAGTTTATTAATTCCCGTTTTATTCACTTTTAGCTAAATCTTAAGGAGACTATTTTTAACTTTTCGGGAGTTTTAAATTCATTAAAGGACTTTTTTTTGGAAGGCTAGGTGTTTGTATTTTTCTAGGAATTTCTATTGATTTTTTAGATATTTTTTCTTCTATATGTGGATTTTATTATATATTATTAATCTATATTGTTATTTTTTAATCTTCTATATATTAATCATCCATATTTATAGAATCTGCACTTTTTATTTTATGTATAATAGTCTTATTTTCGATATCTAAGATGTCATTGAATTTTTTTAATAAATTTTTTTCGCTTTATTATAATTAGTTTTCTGCATTTGAATAATAAACTTTAGGTATTTCACTTATTTCGCAAATTAAATTATTATTTTCTTATTGTTTTAATAATTCTTCATTCATTTCGTATCTATTTTCGGTTTAAAGAGTATATTATTTAGAAAACTTACTTTTTTATTAAGGAACATTTTATTGTTTAATTGAATTCTATAAATCTTTTAAAATAAATTTATTATTATTATTATTCTGTAAATTATCTATAAAAAAAATATAAGTCTAAAATAAATAAAATTAATACATATAAATATATATATATATATATATATATATATATATATTATATATATATATATATATATATATCTTTTTATCTTATTACCTACTTCTATATTAATATTATCAAAAGATTCTATTATATAATCCATCTATTGTTCTTCTAAATTAATTTAATTATTACAAAGTTCTTAGTTTTCATATACAAATTTTTAAAAATATTTAATTTCATTTTTAAAATCTTAAATAAAATATAAATATAATTAATATTAATGTATTATTTTATATATTATTTTTAAAAACTTTAAATAAATGAAAAATCTGCCCATTTTAAAGATTCACCTATTTATTAAATAAAAATTTAGAATTTTTTTCCATCTGAATTATCATCTTAACAATTAAGCTCTATTCTTTCTTTTCTTGATAGTAAAAATTCCGAAAATTCTTAATCATTTAATCTACTTAAATTAAATATTTCTATTAAAAAATTCTTAAGGTTTCCTTCCTCTAATTTTTGCATCAAAAAACAGTCTATATTTTCCTCAAATATACCTTTTATTGCATCTCCTCCGTTTATTTTTGGCACAGAAAACTCTCGCCCCTAAATCCTCGAATTTATAGGATAAAATCTATGCGGGGAACTCAAATTTAGGTTGTTTTCTCCCTTTTGTAAGCATGGATGTATAAAAAATAAGAAATTATCGAATGAATGTTCCCCTAAAATTGAATAAAATTGATTAATAATCTCCTCTGCCGTTTTAAAATAATAGGCGTCAGGCTAATAAGGCGGCGAAGTATATATTTTATAGGAAAATACTTAATTTTTGTTTAAAATATAGGCATTTTTTGTACTTTCTTTTCCAAGTAATTTTACATTAAAAAAATCCAAAAAAATTTTTCTAGTATTTCTGAACTAATAATCATCTATAGAACTTTATTTCTCATATGAATTTATTTTTTATAATTTTATTATATTTTCCAACGATGAAACATCCAAATTTACATTAGTATTACTTTTTCTCATTAAAGGAGAATTAAAAATTGATGTAATCCCATATTTTATAGCCAATTTAGATATATTTTCATCATCTAACCATTCTTCCTCAATATTTTCATGGTGTAAACTTATATTTGTGTCTATTATACCTGGTAATATGTATTTATTTTCATATTATGTGTTAAGTATTTATAGTTATTCAGAGGTTAATAAAGTATTTTCGGGAAGAAAAGAAGATATATAGGGAGGATTTATTTTTAAATAACCGGATTAAAATTTATTTTCAAAAAGAATGTTTTTACATTTTATTATTTATTCAGGGGAATTCATTTTATTTTATTTAATTTATTTTAAGTATTTTTTTTTTTTATCTAATAAATAATATATATTATTATTTTTTTTATTGTTTTTTTTTATCTTTATTTTTTTTTTTTAAAAAAAAAAAAAAAAAAAAATATTTTAGTGATATAACATTTTTTATTTATTTTATATTTTTTATTGCAAAAAAAAAAATATATTATTTTAAATATTTCATTATATAATTTATAATTTAAATAAAAAATAAATACTATATAATATTCTTTTGAATTTATATATTACTGGAAAAGCTTTTTTTATTCTTATAAGTAAATATAAGTTTAATAAATCTTTTATAAAAGAAAAAAAGATTTAATTTTATTATAATCTCAAAAATATTAATTCTATTTTATATATAAACTTATATAATAATTATATAAAAAATATAAAAATTTTAATATATAATTATTTAAAATAAATAATATTTTTTTAAAATATAATAATGTAATCTTTTATAAAGTATATAAATATATTATTTTATATCATAAATAATTTTATTTGCTTATTTCTAAATAAAATAATTTTATTTTTATTTAATAATTTATTTTATAAATAAAAATATCTATTTTTATTAATATTATTTATTTATATAATACTTTAAAGTATGAAAATAAATAAATTTTATTAATAAATAAAAGATATTTATATTTTTTTATTTAAATAAATATGAAATATATTAATTATATATATTAATATTATTTAATATTATTTTATTAATTTATAATTATATAATATATATATATATAATAAATAAATATCTATATTTTTATAAATATATTATTATTTAATATATTATTTTCAAAATATTTATAAAATATTAATTATTATTTTTTATAAAAATAAATAAATATAAATCTATATATATAAAAGTTTAATTTAGTTATAAATAATTTTAAATATAAATATTGATAAATTAAAATATATTTTATATTATTTTTAACAATGAATATAATATTATTTTAAATAAATAATAATAAATTTATTTTATATTTTATTTTTTATATATAATTATTAATTAAAATATTTATGTATTTTAAAATAAATCTTTTAAATTTTAATATAAATAAAAATTAATTTTTATTAAAAATATATATATATATATTTATATTAAAAAAATTAAAAAATATGTGTTGTTTTAATTTAATTTTAACATTATTAAAAGAGTCATTTGAAATATTATTCGGAATAAAGCTAATTAAATTCTATTTTTATTTGTTTAAATTCATTATTAAGCTAATGAAATATTCATTCATCTCAATATACATAACAACAATATTAATTTATTATTACTATCCCCCTATATATGAAAAGTAATTAATATTCAACAAAAACTAACAAAATAACTACTTTACATATTATTTAGAGTAAGCAAATGCTGATTTTTTATGCAATTAATGGCGACATTAATAATAATAAGAGAAAGAAACGAAATTTTTTCCAAAAAATAATGAAGATTATGACTGGATAGATATGAATTTAATCTGTTATTTTAATTAAATGTAATACTCACATGGTTCTTTTAATTAATAAATGCTAGGGACAGGATAAATTAAATTAAATATAGAATTATTGAATATACAGAATACATTATTTGAAAAAAGTATAAAAATAAATGCGGTTTTAATAGATAAATATAACCAAAAAAATAATTTTAACTTCGATACTATAGTCAATAATAATGGCCAAAACTATATTTTTTATAAGCTTTTTAAAGGTATAATGGAAAAAATATTAGATTATCTCGGAATTAATTATTAGGAAGATATATATGAAGTAAAATAAGAGATTTTCCATTAAACTAATAAATTTAATTATTTAGAAATTTAAGGTGTTTTATTATAAATTGTTAATAAAAACAACCAGTTTATAATTTAAAATGGAAAATTGGAAATTATACCGTAATTGGGAAGGTTCTAGTAATTTATTTATTATTACTTTTATTTTGCTTTAGTGAGTATTCATTCATTTATTTTGTTTAATTTGTATTTTTTTTCTTATATATTTAATGACCTTTTTAATTTTTCAAAAAAATGAATTTTTTTCATATTTATTATTAAAGAATGTAATTATTTTGTATCAAAAAGATATATATTTATATATTATATTATTTATTTTTAAGATTAAATTTATTTATATTTTTATATATAAGAAAAAATAAGGTTTATAAAATAATAATATTGATTAATATTATTATAGATATATTATATATTATATATTAAAAAAGAAAGTTATTTATTCAAAATTTAATTTTAATTGTATTTTTAAATAATATATATATATATATATATATATATATATATATATATATATTATATATATATATATATATATATATATATATATTTTTAAAAGATCATTTATCATTTACTTTAAATAAAAAATGAAGTAAAATTAAGTATTATAATATTTTTTTAATAATTATAAATTATTTTATTATAAAAAGTTCAATTAATAATTCTCTCTAATCTATAAAAAACATTTCTTTTTATATAAGTATATTAAAATAAAAAATCTACATAATACAATAATAATAATTAATTTAAAATAAAAGGTAATAAAATTGAAAATAATGAAATCAAAATATCAAAATCATAAAAAAATACATCATAATTTTATTAAAAACGAAACATTGTTTCTCCTGTTGAAAGTTTTGGTATAATAAAAAAAAAAGAATTTCCATAAAATAAAAAATAAAAGTAAAAAGATATGAAAATGCAATAAATAATAATACAAATGACAATAATAATATTAAAATATTACTAAAATAAAGTTAATATTTAAGATAATAAATGAAAGATTTAAACAATTAAATTAATTTAAAAATCTAAAAATGTAAACCTTATAGTATTTTAAAAGAAAAATAAAAACTTCCAAAAATATAAAATAATTCCCAAATAATATAAGAATAAATATAAATAGCCTAAAAAGAAATAGAAAATAATGATTCCATTATCAAATAATAAAATAAGGAATTGTTTAATTTAGAAAAAAGATAAACAAACATTAATTAAAGTACTTATTATTAATTATTGGAACAAATAGAAGCTTTAAAGGAATAAATAAGAGTCGAAAAATACAATATAAAGGAAAATAAAAAAAGAAATTTTTTAAAAGGAAAAGAAATCTTTTATATAGTGAATGACCTCAGAATGCCCTAGAGTTTGCATTAATAGCAATTATTAGAAAATGAAATTGCAAAAATTTAAAAAAAAAATGATTTGTGTTTATAAGTTTAAGCTGAATAAGTTAACAGGGAAAATTAATGGAAAAATAAACTTAGTTTAATTGAAAAAAAATACTAAGAAGCTATATATATAGAAAAATAAAATGGATTAAATATAAACAATGAAGAAGTTTATTAAAAATATTAAAATTTAAATGAAAAAATATAAAACTTTGAATAATTAATTAAGCTTATTTAACATAATGAAGAAAGAGATTTATTAAAATATCAAAAAATAATTAAAGAATTGTAAGAATTAGAAAATGATAGAGATATGTAAATTAATAAAATTGAATTTTAAATAATTTAGATTAAATAAGGATTTTTTTAAGATGATTTTCTTTAGTTTTAAGAAGAGGAGAATTTAAAAAAAAATTTAGAAAAAGAAAATTTAAAAAAACAATTAGAAGAAGAAGAAGAAGAAGAAAAAAAGTAAGAAGAAGAAGAAAGAAAAAGAAAATAAGAAGAAGATGAAAGAAGAAGAAAATAAGAAGAAGAAGAAGAAGAAGAAAGAAAAAGATAAGAAGAAGAAAGAAAAAGATAATAATAATAAGAAGAAGAATTAGAAAGAAGAAGATAAGAAGAAGAAAAAAAAAGATAATAATAATAAGAAGAAGAATTAGAAAGAAGAAAATAAGAAGAAGAAAGAAGAAGAAAAGAAGAAGATAGAAAAAGAAAATAAGAAGAAGAAGAAGAAGAAAGAAAAAGAAAATAAGAATAAGAGAGAGAAAAAAGAGAAAAAGAATAAGAAGAAGAAAGAAGAAGATAATAATAAGAATAGGAAGAAGAAGAAAAAAGAAGAAAAGAAGAAGAAGAAAGAAGAAGATAATAAGAAGAAGAAGAAAGAAAAAGAAAATAAGAAGAAGAGGAAGAAGAAGAAAGAAAAAGAAAATAAGAATAAGAAAGGGAAAAAAGAGAAAAAAAAGAAGAAGAAGAAAGAAGAAGAAAATAAGAAGAAGAAGAAGAAAGAAGAAGAAAAGAAGAAGAAGAAGAGAAAGAAAAAAAAAACTAAGAAGAATAAGAAAGAATAAAAAATGAAGAATAAAGAAAAAAAGAAGAGTAAGAAAAAAAAGAAGAATAAGAAAAAGAAAATGAAAAATAATAGGAAGAAGAAAATAAATAACAATAATAATTAGAAAATTAAAAAAACATATAATAAAATGATGGTTATTTAGATGAATTAGATGAATTAGATGAATAATTAAAAAGAATTGAAGAAGAAGAAAAAAAATAAGATGAAGAAAAAAAAAAATAATAAGAAAAAAATAAAAAATAAAAAATAAGTTCATATACATAAACAGATTAAATATAATAATATAACTAAAACAATAATCCTAAAACAGTAAAAGAAAAAATTGCAGATGCATTATAAGATATAATATAATGAAAAACTATTATATGTATAATTATTATATTAAATATAAATATAAATATAAATATAAATATAAATATAAATATATATATATATATATTTATTTATATTAATATGTTTTTATATATTTTATCATATATTTAATATTCAATTATTATAGCATTCATCTAAATTTATCTCACAAATACCTGAAGTTACAGGTGCTGTAGGTATTCCTCTTCTATTTAATCTTTTATTGTTTTCTACTAATCTGCTTACAAGTGCTCTTCTTGGATATTTTTCACCTACATCTGCATCTTAATTCCATAATCTTTGTGCAAAAGCACTATTTCTACCCCATATTCTTGTAGACTGACTAAATTCGTCATTCATTTCGCTCCAAATACAACTTGTAGCTCCTAATATTTGATTTTCAAGCCCTTTAACTTTAGGATCAAATGAATATATAACATCCCAATTATACATTGTTCCATAACTTCCTCCGTAACGATTACCATAACCCACATCTAGATAAAGTTTATCATAATAAGACAATATAATCTTATTTTTTTGCCTTTTAAAATATTAGCAATACTGTTGGAATATCCCCACCATTAAATAATATCATCTTCTTAAACATTCTATATATAAATATAATAAATATATAAAAAATACATATATATATTTACAATATTATCATTAGCCCAATAAATAACTGGTTTTTTAGAAATATTTCTCCATAATTTTTTCTATTCAAATCTATAATAATCTTATAACTAAGAATAGGTACTAATTTTTTTTTATTCCATAAACTATTTTATAGTAACTCTTTAATCCCAGCATTACTCATCCACTTCATCCCCTCCAAAATGAACAAAATCAGAATTTGAAAACTAATCTTTCATATCTTCTAAAATACCTTTCAAAGCTTCATATGTTTAATCTAAACTAGGATCTAGTTAACCTTAATAACCCCCACAATTTAAAGTTATATTTTAAAATTATTAACTCCTAATATACAAAAATATATATAAAATTTTAATTATATAATAATTTATATATATACTTTCCCCAAGATAATGTATGACCAGGAGAATCGATTTCAGGAATAATTTAAACTCCTTTTAAAATACCATAAGTGATGATTTTTTAAACATCATCAAAAGTATATTATTAATAAGAAGATAAAGAACCAAAAGTAGTTATATTAGGAAATGATTTTAAAGGAAAAGGAAATGAGTCAGCATCTGTAATATGCCAATGGAGAAAATTGAGTTTATTATAAAGCATAGAGTCTATAGTATCTAAAATTGATTTAACAGAAAAGAAATGTCTTGAAGTATCTATCATTAAACCTCTATAAAAATAATCAGGCATATCATCTATTTAGATAGGTAAATTTTGGATAAAAAATTAGCCTGATGTTTAGTTTTTTTCGATTAACTAGGAATAAGTTTCAATTCCTCTCAAAAAGCCTACGTATTTATCAGCATCTAAACTCCAATAAGTACTATTAACGAGTTTTAGAGTGTATTTTTCATCTTCTTTAGATTTAGAAGTAGTTATATTAGTATCCTTTATATTTATTTCAAATATTATTTATTATTATTAATGTTATTATTTTTATTATTATATAGTATCAATTTTAGTTAATAATTTTCTTTTTTATTATTAGCAAGATTATTATTATTAAAATATCTTTGTTTTATAAAAATCTATTATTTCATATACTTAACTAGGTATTTTTTAGCCTAAAGGTTTATATTGTATGATACAAGGATCAGTTATTACAAAATTTTCTGTCCCATATGTGTAATTTTTGGGTTTAGGAAGAACTTTTTAAGAAATAGGATCTACATCAGTAGCTTTTGCAGTTATTAATGAAATTAAAAAGAAAATAAAAAATATTTCTTATGCTCTCATTTTTTTTTTATATATATTTAAATATTATTATTTTTTTAATATTTTTGATATGTTTTTATTTTTTATATTTATATTATAAAAATATTAATTATATTTTTTTCCATCTATTTATATACTTTTTAATTAATTAATTAAAAATATATTATTAATTTTAATAATAAAAAAATAAATAATAAATTATATATATTATAAATTTATCTTTTCATTTTATTTTTTATATATTAAAGATATATTATTTATTTTTTATTATTAAGAAAAATTTTATAATAATTATCTTAATTTTAACCATTTTATAATTTTTTCTTTTATTTTTCCCAAATCACTAATCTAAAAACTATAGTAATAAAAAACAAACTATTTAATTTTTTTTTGAGTAAATTACTAAATATAAATATGAGATATATTTAAAAAATAAAGCTATTATATATATTAATATTGTATAAAAATGCCAAGGAATAAAAAATAAATATTTTCTATATTAATAAAAAGTAAATTTATCAATTTAATTAGCAAAATATGGAGAAAAGTTCATATAATTGTCATTCAAAATACTTTTCTTATGATTTTAATAAATAATATTGTTTTGGTGATTCATAAGATAATTAATTTGATGATTTTTTTTTAACCTAATTTAAATAAAAAAAAATACATAAAAAAATATAAACAATTAATAAAGCAAAAAAAAAAAGCAAATAATATAATTAATTAGACAAAAAATATAATAAAAACAAATAAATAAATATTATATAATAAAAATTAAAAAAAAAGATTTATATTAATAAACTTTATTAAAGAAATAAAAAATATTTAAGTAAAAAAATAAAAATTTATTTATTTAAATAAAATTAATAATACGAAAATATTAAAATAATTTTTGCAATATAATGATTTAAAAGCAATTAGATAAAAACAAATATTTATTAGAAAATATATCAAAATAAAATAAATTTATGATTTATAATAATTGTCTATTATATATAAAAATACAGATGTTATATAATTAAAAATATTTATTAAATAGACTAAAGGAAATATTGTTTAAAAAATTAATAAATATTTACATAAGAAATCAAAACAAATAATAATTTATAAAAACAAATAAAATTTTTATAAATTTAAAAAAAAAAAAATGAAAATATATATAAAATTAAATTTAAATGTAATAAAAACAAAAATAAGTAAAAAGAATATTTTAAAATAAAAAAATAATAATATATAATAATAAATATATATATATAAATATATATAAATATATATATATTTATTTATATATATATAAAAATATTATTAAAAAATTATAATTATCAAAAAAAATTTAAAAAATAAAATAAAAAAACAATAAATTATAAAACAAAACTAAATATATGGTTTTTAAAAATAAAAATATATAGA